AATCCATAAAAGGTAAAATATGTGGATTTGGCACATTGTCAATTGTGAAAACTTAATTAAAGTTTATTTTTACACGGTAAAACAAACTCACGTTATTATTTTATTACCGGATATTGCCTGTGCTAGCTTATAATCCATGTAACGATGATATCACCTTGCATAATTGTCGACTGAACGTTAGTCGTTGGCCACAACTGGCCCGTGGGCTGTATGAAATGAAGTAATGGATCGCATCGGGCCTGTGTATCTATGTAGAACTTCTTTAGCACCGTACGTAATCAACAGTGCTAATCCGAGTTTCGGGGGAAGGACAATAAACTAAATACAGAAAGCACTTTTTAAGAAATTAGTTTTTAATCCGTGGATTCATAGGTAGGTTATACCCCAATGCCAGAGTAACAGAGGGAGGCGCACGGACGGTGCGTAGGTGCGCTCACCCTTGCCGATGCGCTCGCACTCTTCGCGCGCCCGGATCAGCTCCATGTGCAGCGCGTTGTTGTCACGCACGAGGCGAGCGTTCTCGCCACGGTACGGCTCCACGAGCGTGTCCACGTTCCGCGCCTCCTTCTCCGTCTTGCCGGCCACCAGTTGGGCATTGCGCAGGCTTTCGGTGGTGTGCACCAGGTCACTGCAGCGTTCACGCGCCAATGAGTTTCAGATAAAATTATCACTTGAGAGATTGGCGGTGGTGATAGCTTGGCGAGGCCGTCATCCATGGCTCATGATGGTATTCACTTAGGTTATGTCAGGATGGTAGGCATTCATCGATCCACTGCTGGATGAAGGCCTCTCCACTCATTGATCATGGGAGTTGTTTGACCATACATCACCATGTGGATCAGTGTGGGTTGGTAAGAGGGATGGCGGCGGGTGCAGAACGAGTTCAAAAATCACCCACCACTGATGTTAGCAGTCGTCGATAATCGATCTCAGGTTGCTGGTTTTATAGAGCGGTATTCTAGCTACTGTGCCACCACTTCACCCTAGATTGTTATAATTGTATAAGCAAAAAATTATTAACTACTATCACAACATTGTCACCGACCACCTTGAAAACCGCACACACTTTTATAGTAATTATACAATGGCTTAATATCACTTTAACTACCACGGGAATGCCTGTCACAGTGGATCTTCACAACTATAAAAAATGAGGCTTTCATTTTAGAGGTAGCTTTTGCAAACACTCTTCCCCCCCTCGCCACCCCACCCATGCAAAAACGTTAAGTAATTGAAATAACATCTGCTTTTAACCAGGTGTGCACACCTCACCTCGACCTTGGGACAGACTATTTACTGAAGTAGCCACAATGAATGGTGTGTACCTATGTTTACTGCAGTAGCCACAATGTTTACCTATGCAGCGTCCCATGCAGTTAACAAAGGAAAGGAAAAACCCCACATTGTAAAGCATCACAATTAAAATATCATTAGTTCAGTGATTATGTGGTAACACCAATCACATGGACATTTCTCTGCCGCCCTACACAATTAACTAATCATGTGCTGCCGTGTTTTTGTGCTGAATGGATCTTGCGATGTTGGTGGATGGCTCTTGCCGATAAGATGTTGCAATCTAGCAGCATTTACTTAGGAAGCCTGACTCCTGCTGATGAAAGTCGAAACTGGTCCAGAGTTTTTCTGCTTTCACTAATTCTGCTGTAGAACATTGTTCCATGAAGCCTCACTCGACATATGGACTAAATGCTATGTAATTTGCATCTTATATAAATACAATAAGACTTATACACTTATACACTTTAATTATATCCAAGACTCTTTTTCAGGAGAGCTGTACTGCCATCTCCTGACCAACTCGTAGCAACACTTAACACTGACCACTGCTGCCCACCAACATCTGCCAAGCCCTAGTCTAATAACGAATTCAAGTACTACACGGAATCAACCCTGCCTAGCTTTAGATATATGATGACATCGAGAATATTATTCAGACCGAACTGGTTGTACCCAGCTCGTTTGCAGGGTTCTCAGATTACTGAAATGTGATGCACTACCTGTCCAACACTTCAACGGCGTGCAGTGTTTAAATCGAGGAGTTGTTGGCTTTGTTGAGAGTAGGCAGATTAAGTGGATGACAAAACGTGAATTAGTACGTTCATTGTGCAGCCACCTGTGGGGGGAGATGATGCTTATACACCGATAGCAAGGCGTGTCGAGTGTCCCAATGCAGCTGGCGTGGTTTATATTTAATGTGCGTGGGTCATCTACGTTGTCGCAGGACGCGCATTCATATTAACACGCAGTCTGTTGTGTGACTTGCAAAGAGGCACGCCTGCCATCCAACGCTGTGGATTCAAGGGTTGGCAGATCACGCAAGAGATGTTCGCTCTACCCACGAGGTGGCCAGGAGTGAGTACACAGCAAGTGGGTTCGTGAACCCGTCTATTCGAACCTTTCGGAACGCCATGCAGTGGCAGGTACCGTACTCGAGTACAAGTAAAACATTCTAAAGGACCAAACATCGCCACTGCAGGTCCCTCCTGAAAGGCGGTCCTGAGACTCCGCGCGTCTCAAATGAATGAACCAATAAAGTAATTATAATATATATTCAAATATGCTCAAAATGTCCCCCCAATATATTGCTATAAAATTGATTTCTGTTAATATGATTGTGGTTATGGTTGTACTTTATTAATCCCTAATCTCTGCCATTACATATAATGAAACAAGAAAAGGTAACAAAATAAAAAAGTTATAATACAATATACACTATTAGACATTATTGTAAAAAATAAATAAAAAGTCCATCCTATGTGTTAGTGATCTTTTTTAATATTTTAGGCAGGAAATTAGTTTTCAAAGTTAGATTTTTTTTCTGGGGGGAGGACCCCCAGACCCCCTGGAAGATTTGGTCCCCCCCCGCCCCCCAATGTTGACTGCATGGCTACGTCCTTGGAATGAACAGACGAACGGATGAAGACACAGACATAAGTCCTGGGTACAGGCTGAAGACACAGACATGGGTACGGGGACATGGGTGAGAAGTCTCGGCTCTTACCCGAACAGCTTCTCCACGAGAGGCAGCGTCTCCACGCCCAGGGGCTGCCTGTAGCCCAGCTGGTCCAGCCGCTTGCGCAGGCTCACGAACCTGCGCTCGCCAGCCGAGCCCATCGCTCATCGGGGCTTCCGAGCCGGCGGGTCAGCGGTGAACGAATCAATGAATGAATTGAACAATGAATGAAATAAACTCAGTAATCCTGGGCCCGCGCCTTGGCTGGCAGTCGTAATCACGTCGGTGTGGGAGTTGAACCGGTTAAGAGGCGGCGGATGTCCGGCCCCGCTGCTTCCCCCTGGCTGCGGTCCCCGGGGAAAGGGGTCCTTGGAAGAGGGGTCCTTGGAAGAGGGGTCCTTGCAAGAGGGGTCCGAGGTCCCTGGAAGCAGCGTCGGTTGAGTCTGGAAATCGTAAAGTGTCAAGATGCTGGCGGCTCTTGTTCGGTCGCGATCTGGCTCCCTGGTTCCTGGTCTCGCTCCCTGGTTCCTGGTCTCGCTCCCTGGTTCTTGGTCTCGCTCCCTGGTTCCTGGTCTCGCTCCCTGGTTCCTGGTCTCGCTCCCTGGTTCCTGGTCTCGTTTCCAGTCGACGTCCCGAGTCCTCTGACCCCTGCTCCAGGTCACGACCCGACTTGGATTCCGACTCTTTGTCCCTCAGCCCGAGTCTCGCTACGGGGTCCTGGTCCTGATTCCCTGGCCCGGGTCTCACTCTGACGCTGGGTTCCCCGGTCTGGCGGGCGTCTCGTTCTCTCGACTCCCTCGTTCCGTTTGAGACCCGGTGCTGGTTCCTTTTGTTCCTTGAGTCCCCGATGTCCCGGTGCCTCGTCCCGGTCTAAGCCCTGGGTCCTAGCCCCAGGTCCCGGTCTAAGCCGTGGGTCCTGTCTCTCCCCAGGTCCCTGTCTCTCCCCAGGTCCCGGTCTAAGCCGTGGGTCCTGTCTCTCCCCAGGTCCCGGTCTAAGCCCTGGTCCACGTCTCTCCCCAGGTCCCGGTCTAAGCCGTGGGTCCTGTCTCTCCCCAGGTCCCTGTCTGTCTCCAGGTCCCTGTCTGTCCCCAGGTCCCTGTCTGCCCCCAGTCCCGGTCTAATCCCTGGGTTCCGTCTCTCCCCAGGTGCCTGTCTAAGCCCTGGTCCACGTCTGTCCCGAGGTACCTGTCTAAGCCGTGGGTCCTGTGTCTCCCCAGGTCCCTGTCTCTCCCCAGGTCTCCGTCTCTCCCCAGGTCTCCGTCTCTCCCCAGGTCTCCGTCTCTCCCCAGGTCTCCGTCTCTCCCCAGGTCTCCGTCTCTCCCCAGGTCTCCGTCTCTCCCCAGGTCCCCGTCTCTCCCCAGGTCTCCGTCTCTCCCCAGGTCTCCGTCTCTCCCCAGGTCTCCGTCTCTCCCCAGGTCTCCGTCTCTCCCCAGGTCTCCGTCTCTCCCCAGGTCTCCGTCTCTCCCCAGGTCCCGGTCTAAGCCGTGGGTCCTGTCTCTCCGCAGGTCCCTGTCTCTCCCGAGGTCCCTGTCTCTACCCAGGTCCCTGTCTCTACCCAGGTCCCCGTCTCTCCCGAGGTCTCCGTGGGGATCTCCGCTTGGCGCCGTTCCGTTTGAATCTGCCGCCGCCGCCCGCGCCGCGTCCCAACCACTCTCGCCGCCGCGGCGGAGATTTAATTTCCTTTTACGTTTTAAACAAACGCAACAAAAACCGCATCATTAAGATCAGCACGCGCTAACGCTCACAATAAATTGATAAAAAAAAATGTTTTTAATTTAAAATCAAAATAAAAAACCCGATGACGCCGCCCGCATCCACCGCCCCCCGCTGCTTCGCGCTGCCGAATCGCCCCGCCCCTCGAACTCTGACCCCGCGTGACGTCACGGGGGCGGGCGACTGAGGCCGTCCCCCTTCCCCGGTGTGGTCAGCTGCCGCCCGGCACTCACCCCTCTGCTCACCCTTCTGCTCACCCACTACTCACCCACTACTCACCTCGCTGCTCACCCCGCTACTCACCCCTCTACTCACACCTCTACTCACCCCACTACTCACCCCACTACTCACCCCTCTACTCACCCCTCTACTCACCCCACTACTCATCCCGGCGCTCATCCCGGCGCTCATCCCGCTGCTCACCCCACTGCTCACCCCTCTGCTCACCCCGGCACTCACCCCTCTACTCACCCCACTGCTCACCCCTCTGCTCACCCCACTGCTCACCCCTCTGCTCACCCCACTGCTCACCCCTCTGCTCACCCCTCTGCTCACCCCGGCACTCACCCCGGCACTCACCCCTCTGCTCACCCCACTGCTCACCCCGATGCTGGCGTCGCTGACCGCGTGTGGCCGGGGTGTCGCGCGCTCCCGCGGGCTGCTGCTGCCGCTGCGCTCCCGCGTGTCCCTCTCGGACTGCTCGGGCCTCGCGACGGAGACGCGGGGAGTGCGCGCCTCCACGGATGGGACCCCGAGTGCCGACGCGTCCAGGTACGGGCCACTGGAGGCACCCCCCGGGCGCCTCCAGACGCGGGACCCTGAAACCCGCGTGAATTCGGGGCCATGGCTCTCCATCCCCCTGCAGTCAGGGTCGGGTCCCGTGACTTCTGCCCGGCCACCGTGACCTCTGCCCAGCCACCGTGACCTCTACCAGGCGACCGTGACCTTTGCCCGGCCACCGTGACCTCTGCCCGGCCACCGTGACCTCTACCAGGCCACCGTGACCTCTGCCCGGCCACCGTGACCTCTCTCCGGCCACCGTGACCTCTGCCCGGTCACGTGACATCTGCCCGGCCACCGTGACCTCTGCCCGGCCACTGTGACCTCTGCCCGGCCACCGTGACCTCTGCCCGGCCACCGTGACCTCTGCCCGGCCACCGCTACAAGTCGATGGGCAAGTCACTTGTAGTGGGTTGAAGACTTCTGACGGGTTTGGAAGAGGAAGCCAAATGCCCGCCAGAGCTCCCTCTCAGAGAGGCCCTTCTACCAGCAGTGGCGTGAACACGAAATTGCGGAGCTTTACATTTAGTTTTTTTCAGTAAAGTCACGGTTGCTTTCGCTACGTTGTCCCCACCTGAAGAAGGGCGCTTGTGTTGCGCCCGAAACGTCGTGATTTAATTTAGTTTTCATTTATTTTATTTTTTACCTACGTGACTTTACCGAAAAAACCTTGCAGTCACGAAAGCTTCAAATCTAGAAGGAAGCTTTACATTTGTCTGTGACCTCTGTGCCCGCAGAGCCCCTAGTATATAGACAGCCATGCCTCCTGAGCTGAGACTCCGAGTCCCTACTCTACCACAGCCGTCACCCATGTCTCCATGATCTTGACCTCTGCTCCTGACTTCCCCAGGGCTGGCTACTGTGACACCCACGCCTCCAGAGGAGGGAGTCCGAAGTCTCCTGCGTCTAAGGCGAGGACCCCGGCCTCTCGCTCCTCCAGCGCGGAGTCACTGCTCGGGGCCCCGGGCAGCTTCACCATCCTGCGCTCGACGTCCGCCGACGTCTTCACCAACCTGGCCCTGGAGGACTGGCTCTACGAGCACGGCGGCTTCGGGGCGGGCGGCGGTGCGCTGCTAGTGTGGTGGAACGAGCGCGCCGTGGTGCTGGGCCGCCACCAGAACCCGTGGCGGGAGAGCGATGTGCCGTGGCTGCGGCAGCGGGGAATTTCTGTGGCGCGTCGGCGGAGCGGCGGCGGCACAGTCTACCACGACCTTGGCAACGTGAACTTCTCCTTCTTCAGCTCGAGGGCCGGCTACGACCGCAAGCGCAACCTCGGCCTCATCACGGACGCCGTGGCCACGCTGCGGCCGCGCCTCGACGTGCGCGCTACGGAGCGCTTCGACTTGGTGATGGAGGCCAACTTGAAGGTGTCGGGCACGGCGGCCAAGCTGGGCCGCGACACGGCCTACCACCACTGCACGCTGCTCGTGGAGGCCGATCGGGTGCTCATGTCGCGCGCCCTGCGCAGCGGCCACGCCACGGGGCTGCGCACCAACGCCACTCCCAGCGTGCCGGCGCCCGTGGCCAATCTGCGGGAGCGTGACCGGACCCTAACCTGTAACCTCCTGGCCGGCGCGGTGGCAGCGCAGTTTGCGAGGTCGCACGGCCGCCCAGGCCGCGGGCAGGCCACCACTGTGGACCCAACAGATGTCGAGGCCTACCCAGGAATCGAACGCATGCGAGAGGAGCTCAGCAGCTGGGAGTGGGTGTACGGACGCACACCACCCTTCAGTTACGAGCACAGCTTTCCCTCTGACCCCTGCGGAGGCGGTCAGCACGGGGAGTTCACAGTCAGGGTGGAGGTGAAGAATGGGCGCATCGAGCGATTCGAGGTGAAGGTGCCAGACCCGTGGCTACCAATGGACGTGGCCTCCACGCTGGCCCAGGTGCTGGTGGGCACGCGATTCTGGCCCGAAGACGTGGAACTGGCACTTCGGGAGGTGCGGGCCCAGGGTCAAGGCCCGTGGGGATGGATCTGCGACTGCATCATGTCCATAGTGTGATGCTCATGCCATGTACATGAGTACATGAACTGCACCCTCATTGTCAGTGCACTGCTGGTTGAGAGCCGGCACATGCCACGCACTGCTTTACTCTGCCCACAACCTAGCCCAAGTCTCAAACACCTGCTGTGGGTGGTGATCGCTAAAGGCTTAACACTGCTTTAGCTGTCCAAGGTCTCGTGAGATCAGACAAGAGGGTGGTTACATCGTTTTACATTGCAATCCGAAAGAGCTCGAATTTTGTATATTTACACCTTGGCTCCGTGTCCTGGGGCTGACAGTTTAATGAGTCTCGCTCTTGGGATGTCGTGGTGTAAAAACCATGCCTAATGATACGTCATGCCAATATCATGAGTGTTACTGTGGTGTTCTTGAAGGTCCCTTTAAAAGTATTATTTTGCTCAATCATGAACCTTCACTTTCATGTCATGCAGCTTGGAGCACCCGAGCTGTGTGTTCACAAGGGATGTTTGATTTTTTTTTAGCCGTGTCCTCATACACGTTATCTTCAGTTTTTGCAAATTTGTGTTAATGACTGCATCAATATGATGTTGAGGATAAGGAACTGACGGGGCAGTGTTATAATTTTTATTTTAATATTAACATTTGTAATGCGCCTTAAAATCTCCCATGAAACCCAGAAAAGAAACTGGAAAATATAAATTAAAACTTTCTATTGCCATATTAGAAAAATACCAAGTTTATAAAATATTACTGTACATGGTATACACATAGCAGGTGTATTTAACAAAACATGTTGCACAATGTCATCAGCCACTGTAAATCCTCGTCACACTCAAGCGTGTCTCCTTGTCAGACTCCGGTCTTTTGTGCAATCTCGGCGTATGTTCCGCCTTTTTGAACAGTTTTGAATGCTTCTGTACACCGTATTTGTTTTCATTAAGACATTGTCTTTGTGAGAACTTGGATGCGTGGTCTCAGCCCTCCTTGGTGTGCTTCCTGTGAAAAATGTCCACCGTGGTCTCGTGGCAAGGCCGCAAGTCGTAGTCTCCGTAGCCGATGCTGAAACGGCCCTAGAAGCAACCACAAGTGCAGGCATCAGAAACTGCACCTTCAAGTCTGCGGAGGGTAGAGTTACTCTACTTGACTGCACAACACAATACAATTGATCAGATCATTCTGACTTCCTGGATTTTTATTCTCACTTCCTAGATCTTGTCCTGATGGTATTCGACGTAGGTTTAAACGAAATATGGATTGCAATTGCTCAATTTGGTGGTAAGAAATATTTCCTCGACTTACCCGTGAGCTGAAACGATAATAATTGGCTCGTTAAACACGTATACAGGTGTCAATTTATTTTTGGCTTTGTCAGGTGGTGGACAGTCTTCACAACACACATTTGGTCAGATCATTACATGGCTTAACACAAAAATATCAATACAATTTCATTCGGAGTTGGCTTTAAAAAATTCTGCTTGATAACATTTCGTCCAGAAAGGCAATAGGCTGATAGACTATAACATATTTTGTATGTTGAGACAAAGTTCTGCCGATACGGCATATTAATTTACCCATAATGCTCCATAGGAGCAAATGAGTTTGAATACAATTTGGATTTACGTAGCATTTAAATGCGACCACATCTTCAGATGCTGTACTAAAACCAGCCATATTTATTTTGTTTAATTTCAATTCATCTGGGTGCAGATAGGGCTCTAGTTCTTACTGAATATGTTGAATTGCTGGTAGACTGGAGTAGGCACGGGATTAGTAGCCACAGCCACAGAGATAGGTATACTGGATGTGGCGGTGCAGGGTGTGGAAATATTTCCCAGGTCACTGATGTGGACAACCCTGGCTTAAATTAAGCCCTGGATGTAGATGCTAAAATCCTCAATTGAAAGAGCATGTGACTGACAAGAATGAAAAGAAACGACACAGAAAATAAACACAAAACTTACCGCGGGCTTCTTAAAATAATCCAGACCTCGTCCAATCTTTATTATCCATCCATTATTAAACCTGAATGACAAGTGGTAATTTCAATGAGCACATCGAGTGACAATGTCATCAAGAGACATTCACGGATATAGAATTAATAGGCTACTTGTGTAGCTGCACTGAAGCATGGAAAACCTGATTTCCCGGTCGTGCAGCGTGTCTGAGTAGGAGATGTTGAGTGCGATGTCGTGGCCTTGAAGACTTTGCCTCAGTTCCACGAGTGCACCCTCCTGGAGTTCATTGCTCCTGGTCTGAGTGTGTTTTGATTGAAGGTATAACATGAAAATAACTAGTTTTAATGACAAGACAAAACAATTACAATGCAACAACACCCGGCTATAAAGTAGTGAGTTAATGGGCGAGTCACCTCGTCTTGTGAAGTAAGGAGGTTGACCTTTTTCACTTTACACGGTCCTTGGATCAGCATCTCGCAAAACCGGAGGAGGTTGTAAAGCTGCAAATGAAACCACAACCATCTTCACTCGTCACAATCTCAATGGATTGCTTGTTTCTCAAATCCCTCTTTTTTATTTCACTCTGCTACAAAGCGTCTTGAGAGTGTTTCAATTTTTTTTTACATCTCAACACGAATTCCATGAATAAGCCAAAATCATGTTTTGGCTAGGAAAACTCTTGTGACAAGAAATCAGGAAGACAGCAAATTAGGTACATAAGAAATTTGAAAAATAGGATGCAACAGGGAGTATCTCATGCCAACTTCTTGAGAAAATGTTAAAGGACAGAGCTGAACAAGGACAGCCATCAATGCCGATGTCTTTTAGAAAGGACATGAGATTTACAGAGAAAGTTACCTTCAAAACTAGATATACTAATCTTGATTTGAAGCTTTCGTGACTGCAGCAATCCAGATAATTCTTTCTCACCTGATGATGGACCCTTGTGTTGCGACCAAAACATCGTGCCTGATTTTGTGAAATGTTGATTATGCCTGCCTGTTTGAGGGAATAATTGTATTCAGATTTGCTGTGTCATCAGCTTGTAAGCAGGACTTAGCCAAGGACTGTTTATTTAATTACCTGATTTATCCCATGATTTCCCATGTCCGTAAAGATGAGCGCTCCTTATTGTATATAACTCGAAATAATCATGAACGTCATTGTGCAAGAATATAAATTACAAAATAGATCCCCAGATAACATGTCTAGTTCATGTCTCCACATAAAAACATTCTGAAACAACCCAGACTGCACGGCCTTCTGGGAGTGCGTAATTGATTTTAGACAAGCAAGCTTTGGACTGGTTTCGACACAATATCTCAGCAGAGGTAGGCTTACTTGAATCAATGCTGGTGAACTGCCAGATGTTACAGGCAAGGACCATCTCTTAACGATATTGTATGAGTTGCTGTCAATTGTGAGTCCTAAAGTTGGTGAGCTGCTGCCCTAACGGTGCTGCCACACACACGGCGGATCAAAATACCATGCTGTCTCGGTCACACACTCAACCAAGGTGTGCGAGGTGTCAGACCTGATGGATGTGACGGATGTAAGGATCCTCCACCCACACCTCGCTCACAGTCTCGTCCAGGTACGGTCCAAACAGCTTCACGTAGCTGAATCCGATAGCATTATCAGCGATTCGCAACTGCTCGTGATACTTGCCACCTTGCAAGTGCGCACACACTGTGATGCACATCGGGTAAAGGGGGTTTTCACAGGCATTGAGGATTAACCATGCTGGCGAAACGCGTGCGAGTTTAATTATGAGCTGATCCCCACTTGTGAGTGACTCAGTCTCGCACGCGACCGCAAACAAGTAAAACAATTACTGTACTTTAAGAAGCAATCAAAACAGACGACGCACACTACATCTCCACCCACATTCTAAGTAGGTAAATTATAAATAAATATTGCACCAGATAATGAAGAGTTGATTATCCTGAAAATGTTTACTAACTCCCTTTTGTGCCATACTCTTCCGGCAAGGCTACATTCTCACGTGCAGATAAGGAATTCAGGCCTCCTACTACCCACTTTCTTTCTGGACGTTCACTTGCTGCTTGATTTTCTCAGCCCTCTCCATGTAGACTTCAATCTTCTGGCGATAGTGGCTCTTCTTTGCATCTTCCTTTATGGCTGTACAAAAACAATACAGCACGTTTAGTTATTTACAAGATAATATTGCGTAAAAGCTTTGATTATATTACAACACAGCCGTATGGCTATGTTGTAATACACAGCCATACGGCTGTAATCCAGAATATCAGGAGAGACTAAGACCTCAAAGTTGGTAGCCAGTCGTTGTATAGATGTAATACAATTATTTTCTTTTTCTTCCGCCGATTCAATTAGGACCCTGCACGGTATCCATGCCCCGCGCTCCTGCGAGGTTCTAGGGAGGCCACCCACCACAGCTGTTGTTCCACAGTGCGCCTGCGAACCCTGACGTGTGCACACCTTTGGAGAGAGGCGACGTTTCGGGCAATAGCCCTTCTTCATAGCATGCGCAATTATATATGTTTTCCCTTTTAATGCCACAGTGTTATTGACGAGTGTATTGGAGTGTTTTTGTTAACACCACTGCCAACGCAGCAGCATCAGCATCAGCACCAAATAATCTGCGCACAGAACAACGTTCGCGATGGCAGCTGATGTCCGTGGCTCCACGGCTCGGCGTGCCGCGGTGGGTGGGTGGGGGGGGGGGATCAGTGGTGGTGCCGTCTGTGCCCCGTACCCTTGAGGATGTCGATGAGAAGCTGGATGCCCTCCTGGTAGCACACGAGCGCCTCGGGCAGGCGGGACTCGCGGTCCAGGTCCACGGCGCGACTCAGCACCGACACGGCCGCCGCCTCCATCCCGGCCAGACGGAGGTCGGCCATGCTGTCTCCCTGTGCTCTGTGACCGGTCTCCCTGCGCACGCAGAATACCCTTCCCCTGCACCGTCTCACCCGCCTCCTCCTCACCTCAATTCACACTCCGCCTCGTCTCACAGTCCCTCCTCACACGACTTTCTTCTCTCCCTTCTCTCCCGCCTCCTCTTCACCCTCGTCACCTGTTCCCTCCTGACCTTGATTCCCTTCTCACCAAACTCCCTCCTTGCCCAATACCCTCTGCTCGATTAAGCTCAGACACTCGCATCCTCATCTGACACCATCTCTTCATGCACCTCAGACCATCTCCTCACTTCAGCTCCCCTCTCCTCTCACCTCTCTCCACTCACCTCGGCCCCCCTTTCCACTCACTTCAACCCCCCTCTCCTCTCTCCACTCACCTCGGCCCCCCTCACCGCCCACCTCTCCACCCACCACTCCACTCACCTCAACCCCCCTCACCACTCACCACCCACCTCCACTCACCTCAACCCCTCACCACCCACCTCTCCTCTCTCCACTCACCTCACCACCCCCCTCTCCCCTCTCCACTCAACTCAACCCCCTCACCACTCTCCTCTCTGCACTCACCTCAACCTCTCACCACCCACCTCTCACCACCCACCACCTCTCACCACCCATCACCTCTCACCACCCACCACCTCTCACCACCCACCACCTCTCTGCACTCACCTCCACCCTCTCCTCCTCCTCTCCCGCCACTGTGAACCCGCGCGTCTCAGCGCCGCTTCCGCGTTCCTCTTCGTCACGTGCTACCCCCCCCCCCCCCACGTGACTTCCGGTAGCCAAGATGGCGGCGCCCGTGTTGTGATCACGCTGCGTCCTTTAGAGGGTGGCTAAAAGCAAACTCGTAAACAACTCAACAAGGTAAAGCAAACAAGCGAGGCGACCGCACGCACCATGATCGGCGCGTGCGCCAGGACGCAATGGGCGACCGTTCAGCACAGTTTGGCGGCGGCAGCGACGGTGAGTGTCTGCCCCTGTCACCGGGCCGCGTGTCGGTGGTGGGAGTTGTTACGGAGTCCGCATGCCCAGCCACCGCATACCGAAACAGCTTTTGTTCGGCCGGATCGAGGGGGCGAAACGGGCGCGGCACGGGCTAGAGAAGAGATGGAGTGATGTGGTACAGGAGGACGTGGAGCTGAGTGGACTTGACGATGACTGGTACCAGCGGTGTCAAGATCGGCCTCTGTGGAGGAGGCTTGTGAAGGACGCTACTGGGCAGTTGGAGGCAGTCGCCCTCCAGCAACAACGGAGGGCGGAGGAGCTACGCTCACAATGAGCGGAGCGCCGGGTGGCTAAAGCACAGCAAATTGGCACAGTAGGGGGCACAGGTGGTGCATCAGCCAGTCATCTCGGTCATCTCAGTCAGTCGACCCGTGGCACCTGCTGGGTCTGCCCCGTGCCCTGCCAGCGGGCTTTCGATACTTCACGTGGCCTCAAGGTGCACATGGCCTGGCACAAGCGTTGTGGTGACGTCACTGCCACTTAGTGGCTTATGGCGGTTGTTACGTCTTGCGCTGCGCTTTTGTCAATCCACTGCTGGGTGAGGGTGTCCCCCACTCCGCGTCGCTCGTGGGCGTTGTTTTGCGCATACTTCACCATGCTGGTCAGTGTTGGTGAACGGGCGGCTTCCCTGGCTGGTTCAGATGGTCCCTGTAAAAAAAAAAGTTGGAGACTCGACGATTTGCTGTAACAGTACGGTGACTGTCTTCACCTGGCGAGCCAGGGTGATGGCACATCGATGCCCACGGGAAGAGAGTTTCAAAAGATTTACGTTATCCACCAAGTCTCGTCTCCACACTGCTGGATTACAGGCGTACGCCACCACCACATTACATCAATGCCGTGTTGCAGGCAAATAACCTCTCTTAAAGATATGGGTTATCGCCGGATCCAGAATTGTAAAATAAATTATCTGCATAGGTTGACCAGAGAATGTAGCAGTACATTATACGAGCAGGGTACAGTACTGCGCTATGAGAATGTCCATAAATCATGAATTGAAGGGACTTTATATCACAAGTATATGTCAGGGTTCGTATTGGGGAATGCGGTGGCAGGGTGCTTCGTTTGAGGTCGGAAGGTCGACAATTCAAACAGCCCGGTCGATGTCACCTTTCCGTTCAACCAGAGGTCGACAACCTGCAACCCCGGAACCGCATGCGGCTCTTGAAGGACTGTTTTCATGACGTTAATTCAGCTCCATCTCGTATTCACCACGTGCAATGCGGCTCTTGTTATTTTGATTGCCGACCCCCTGCGTTAAACGACCACCACTATTAGATTACAACAATGGTCTTTGGTTCTTTCGTTAAAGTCACGTAGGTAGAAAATAATATATCACGACGTTTCGATCGCAACACAATCGATCGTCATCAGGTGAGATTGTACAATTACTGTAATTGTCTCACCTGATGACGATCGCTTGTGTTGCGATCGAAACGTCATGATCTATTATTTTCTACCTACGTGACTTTACCAAAAGAACCAAAGAGTATGGATCCCTGCAGTCACGAAAGCTTCAAATCAAGATTACAACAGTGGTCGTCTATGAATGTACTGGCTCATGCCATGGTAACGTGGCATTTACAGCACCGGCACGGGGTCGTCAATGGAGAAGAGCATCACTCTACAAATAATCGGGCCCGGAGACACTGATCTAAATTACCTTTTTATATCAGGATTTAAATGTATGGTTTTATTTCAGGACCCGTATTTGCACCAACGCTACTGAGCGAGTCCGTAGAGGGTTAGGTTTTAAATTAACTCATGGGACTGCCTGCATTGACCGTCTAGTTCAAGAGGTCATCGCGGCCAATGTCAGATTCCACATTGGTTGAAAAGTGTATACATTTCTCGGTCAGCCCCGAGTCCCATCTGGTATTAGATCTGACCCCTAGGTGGCACTGCAATGCCTGTCTTGGTAGCTTGTACGAGCAATTCCATAATTCCTACCAGTAATTGTGAATGTGGACTGTACTGTAAAAGTACGTACTAACTAGAGGACTTTCCATCCTATAGACCAGGGGTGGGGAACGTTCGGCGCACGGGCCGTATAAGGCCCGCAAAATCATTTGGTCTGGCCCTGTCAAGGCAACTGCAGACGGGACTCGAAATTCAATAAATCTAGGAGCAAACCTGGAAAAGCAGTTGAGTCATAACATCATCAATACCAGCTAACATCACACGCCTCACCAAAGAGAAGCAGTTCCAGCCATCACATTAGTGGGGAGTTAATTAAATGTTTGACCCAATATAACAGGCTAATTTTTAAGTTGATGATTTTGTATGGCCCACGAATGATGTTATAAATATCCAAATGGCCTTTGTAGAAAAAAGTTTCCCCACCCCTGCTATAGACGAAGTAAATTTTCTCATTATCGTCACACACTTCCACGTGAGCCCTTGCCCTCCCACATTTGCCACACTCACACTCACCATTTGTGATATTTGGGAGAAAAAAACTATTCTGAAAGTTATATTGTGAACATGCATATACCTGACAGACAGAAAACTGAACTTGTATTGTTATACCAAAGCACTTCATTGACGTGGTAATTTTGCTTGGCAGATGACACAGAAAATGCTTTTGGGTCGAAACTGGGCACTCTGCCAGTTTGCGAGGACCAGCATTGTGGCGATTTACAAAAAGAATGCTCAGGAAGGCTCCAAAAGGAAGGTAATGATGCATTTTTTTCGTTTCAGATTCAGTGTGATCCGCTTACTGATATTTTTATTTTAACTGCTGTTTTGCAAAACCAGGAAGGGCCACAACATTGAGTATGTGCCCGAGTTTATTTTGTGTGAACTTTACGGGTTGTGCTGTATCATCTTGTAATATATTATCCACTTGAAAGTGGAGCACGAAATCACGTACGTTACCCATACCATTGCTACAAATACCACGTCAAAAGATGATGACAGTGTTATTGGCACCACACTTGAACAGTTTCCCCTCCCTCTTCCAGACACCTGGGCTCCAAGGTCCGCTCTTGAAGTGTCTCACCGTCCGGCTTGTGGCCTAACCTTGGTTGGCAATCGCTGGGTGCCATGCCAATGGCGGTCTCAATAAATTAACAGTCTCCATTTTGAACAACTGCCCCACCCACAAGTTACTTTTCCTGATATCTACAACACTGTCGCCTTCTATTCTCAACGTTTAATTGTGTAACCTTGCCTGTCAAGATATTCCTAACATCCTCAACATGAACGTGTATTAATTCGCCAGAAGCTATTTGTTTCTTTCTTCGGTTCCATCTGTTTGTTCCATAGTGATATACATTGCTTCAGCCTCAAACCCACTTTAACAATGTTTACCTCTCAGTTTTTTTAAGTGGGTTATTGAGGCACTAGTTGATGACATTCCTTTGAGAATTAACAAAAAATAGTTTTAACTGCTACATAGCAAACATATCTGTTGCACGGCACATGGGACAGTATAGAATCCCCAGATTGGGTAAGAGAGCCCTTCTAGAAATCTTAGGAGCTCTTTGATGTCTGCGGGCTGTTCTGTAACAAGGTGATGCACCATTCAGCAAGTGTTCAGAATCTGCATTGCCTTCTCTGACATGACACTGATAACAAGTGAAATAAAACTGAATACTAAGTGTAACCCCCAAACAACTCTGGACTTCATTTCTCACGATGTCCTGGGGGTGAGCAGAGCAAGGAAGAATACGCTAAGGAGCATAACATCTACGGAGGAGACCCCGAGCAGCCACACAAGCTGCACATCGTGAGACGCATCCGCAGCATTTACCGCCGGCCCTACTGGGAGAAATTGGCCATCAAGAACCTGGGCCTGACCAAGGTATTGACAGTTGGTCGACAGGGAATGGTGTCATGATTGTTTAGCGGTTGAAATACATTTAACTTTTTTCACACCATTTTGTCTCAATGTTATAAAGCACAATTGTTGGCTTGAACATGCTCAAAAGCAAAAAAAAATTGTAACATCGGGCATTTTGTTACTCTTAAGATATGCCTTTTAAAAAACGTTGAATATGTTGCCGAGGAAGACATGCAGACATAGCATTCCTGTTTTTGCTTTGGATCAAACTGCTATGTTTACAACAATCTTGAGAATACTGTTTTTCCATTTTTATGCAGCGGGACCCTGTGATACACAAGAACATAGAATCTGTTAATGCTCAACTTACCATGGTCAAGCATCTCATAAAGTAAGTTTTATTAGAAACACGTTTATTACATATTGCCTTTGCAAATGACTGACGGTTTGTGCTAATTTTGGATTTATTTTCCAAGGTTTAAAGCATGTGTGCATGAGCTCTGTCAGTCCGTCATGGGGCGGGGGGGGGGGCACTACAACTCTTGTAAAGATTTTCCAATGTGCACCAAACTGAAGCCTATAGTTTTGCAATTACGGACTTGGTCTTCATCCACGTGGGCAACGTTTGGGAAACTATTGCCTGTATTCTTCACCAGCAATGGTCGCAGCAACATTTCCCCATTGTTATTTAATTCTAATTGAAGCACCAAGTGGGAACTGGGACTCCCACACTTCTTCATTTTAAAAAAGGTGTACACCACGAATCCCTGTACAAGGGGGATCTAGGCACGAGTGTGGCGTGATGAAGTGAGATGGTGTGGAGAGTTGTGATGGACAACTATGGGTCAGAGCCATTTCAGACAGATTAATTTAGTCTGTGGAATCATCACTGCACAGCAAAAACACCGTCATTCCATTCCCCTGCAACGTTGACAGTCAACCATGGTGAATGTGTCACTGATGGCAGTTTCCAGAAACAATTGCCGTTTACAGTGCTCCAGTGGATCCATTGAACACCTGACAAATTGATTAGACGGTTACCACATTGGAGACAAACCAGTGCAAACATGAATATTTGTTTGGCAAAGGATTTGTGCGATTTTTTCCAACTTGTTTTCCATGGTACATTTTACTCTCGTGACAATGTGGCTTATTCACCCCTCCTGCAGGGTCCAGCCACTGAAATTGCCACAAGGACTGCCCACAGAAGAGGAATTTGCCCACTCTTACATCAACTCCAAAGGGGAACTGATCATACAAAAGAGGCTCTCCCCAGTGGAACAAAAACAGATTGAAGCAAAGTCCGACAGTTGCACAATCAATACAAATGTATAGAACTGGTGAGGGTCTTTATTAGACATCCATCAGCCTGTGTGTGCTTTTGTTTACCTTCATTAGTAAACTATCATTTGTTCGTGATGCAATCCTGTTATTTAAAATAAAGGATGCAGCGTTGTACGTCTGTACATGAGGAATTTGTTCATCATTTACGTGAAGCGCAGTTCTTTATGTAGTTTTTATTGATATTAAATATCACAATGCATCAGTAAATAGTGATTGGGTTTATTCCATTTGTGTTGTCATCACAATCAAGCAAATATACCGTTACACTGCCAGTGCATGAAATGTTACTTAAAATGTTTAAAAAACTCACATTTAACCACGAGTAGATCATGCCTAGCATGCAGACATTGAATACTGGAATATTGCCAATACAATACAGCATATTCTGAAGATTTCGGAAAGAACTGCAAAGTCATGGCTGTTAATAAGTTCTGTGAAAAATCTTAAGGTAGCTTTTGTTAAAGCAAGTAGATTCAAGCTGGTAACTAAAGCCAATGATGAATTCCCCACTCCCAACTGGACCAATGCGCCAAACGTCAACATGACTGCAAGTTTGCAAATAAAAGCATCGCTGCCCTCTTTAGGCTATCCTCACGAGCCCGTTCTCTCATCATTGCCACGGTCTCCATTGTACCCCATATCTCCAGAAACCTGTATTGGACCCTTTTCAAGAAACACGTGTGCACACTTCAGACATTCATTGCGTCATTACTAATAAGTTAAGACAACTATGCAATGAAACGTTCTGCAATAAGACTTTTTTTGGGCTACATCTCGTAAATATGAATGTCGTTAAACCCGTAACCAGCCGGCAGCCAATTAGTAAAGTTTGGCATGTAAACAGAACATGGCATTTCGTTATTCGTTCAGCACACTGGTGTGTTGGGGAGTAAATCCGAAAAACATTTACTCAGGATCACCTTTGGAAGCCCACAGTATAACGAGGCTTCCTGGATGCAATAATTTGACTATTTAAAATTCAAATGGAACAATATCGCCTACTAATGCAACTTATACAGCTAAAGTGACTACCTTGAGGTTAAAATATGAAATATTAGGCAAACTTAGAATCAACATTTGCATACAGTGAGCGTTTTGATAAAGCACACTAAGAAATGCGGTTTGCACCAATCACAAGTAGAAATTCTAATCTGCATATTACCTGTACATTAGAACGGAAAATCACGCCGGCGAGCAGACCTCCGCACGGCAGAAAAGCAAAAACGGCTCACTCGGCATGGAGCGAGAGCGACAGCTTCAAACACGCCACCTCTTTCCCGCCCATGGACAGCGTCACCTTGCTGCGGTAATTTCCGTTGGTGAGCCAAGACGGAAGCTCCACGTACGGAATGGTGAAATCGGACTCTGGGAAGTTGTACTTTCCCTGCAAAAACAAAAGAAATTACAATTTATACAATCATTCGACAGTTCATGCCTTTTCCTATATTATAATGAAACTCAGCATTGTTGATCTACCAGCATTTCCCAAGCAGGGTTGTGCCTGTATAGTGTTTGATCGGGCCAGCACTGCATTAGAGGTGTTACAGGCTGCGGCAGAAGGGTAACATGGTGGGGAGCAGAGGGCAGTGCAGAAAAATGCGTTGTACTATACTTTTATGCTCACACAGTCACCAAACCACCCAGCGAGGTGAAATGATAACCCCCTCCCAAGTGTGGGGAAGCCGTCATCCAACAGCAGATTTAGAAAAAGTTGTACGCTTATATTTGCTCAAATCTGAGCGAATCTTGGTTCTTTCGGTAAAGTCACGTAGAAGGGAAATAATAAAATAATAACAATAAAACATAATAAAAAACATATTTTATTTTATTATTTCCCTTCTACACGACTTTACCGAAAGAAACAAAAAGATGAATCCCTGCAGTCACGAAAGCTTTAAATCTAAATCTGAGCAAATGTTTATCACTATATAAATTCTGAACTTTGCTTAGAATTTATCTATCCCAGTCCTATGTGTACTAAAACAGGGGGCCAGACGAAATTACTTTCCCCAAACCACTCAAGTTCAGAGTGGCTTGGGAGGAAGGAAAGTACGCTTGGCAACTGCATGACTCTCTGCAAGGCGTGGGGGGCCGCAGTTCCCACCACGCCACACGTGGTAGCTAATTTCACACTTCCCCACACTACCACATTGTCTTCTTTGTTATATATATAAAAACCATGCTGGAACAAAATTCAAGTGGCTATAAATTGACACAAGCCACTTTGTTGAGCTATCATTTGTGGCCGGGTCACTTCTGAAAATAGCTAAATAGCTAGTAATTACACTGTTTACCAATACTCGCAGTATACGTATTGTATTTTGAGTCCACACTGTCGCAGGCTTGGCTAACCATGGGTGCTGGACAATAAATAGCTCAATGAGGCTTTAAAGTTCTTCACCTACCAGTAACCCCTCTCATCCATCTGCCTACAAGAAACAAACTTAACAATGTAATAGTGCCAGCCAAGGGAAGGAATGGTCCCGAGGACATCCATTGCAGAGATTAAGCGATGCAATCAGCTTGTGCAAAAGGTACTAGGTGGACTAGCATTGCAAGACCGTGAGAGAAGGCAACGGACTTGGTGGGGGGGAGGCCTTCATTCAGTACTGAATTGATCATAGTTGACGATTTGCCAGTAGGCCATCTGTTGCTGCAAGTGTGATGTTTCCAACCTTCTTAAAGGGGCAATTGCAGGGCAGGCCATAGCTGAACAGGGGCTCTGGACAGTCCTGTCCAGGTGGCGTGAGCTGGTTCAGCAGCTGACACACGTCCTTGTACACGCAGCTCCCGATCTGATCCAGGCACGGCACCTCGATCCACAGCCCTGCCAGCTCCTTATCCAGCGTCACATTGGCCTTCACGGTGCACACATTTTGCACGAAACAGGAAACACATTTTGCACCATCGTAACACTTCCCTCAAGCCATAAACAGGTTTCGTGTAATGCGACATGCACATTTTTTTTCGTAACCAAAGTGCGGTTTTCCAGGTTGTGTTCAGTGGAGCATTTTCTCTCTCAAGCCTTCATTATCAACTGTTGAATTCAAATCCTGTGCATGCCCACAACAGTGTGTGCATCAAGTTGAGAATAAACGCTCACAGCACAACCCAAAAACAGCACTTGGAAGTACAATACAACATAGATGTGTATATATACATCACCTAAGAAGTACTGCATCTCCAGATTATGAAAAAATGTAAATATTGTAAAAATATTTAGGTCGCGATTGGAATTTGGCTTCTTGTACAATGTACGGTGGCGGTTGCAAAGGGTTTTCAATAACCGCGAATGTAATACGTAAACAAGCGAGGCTCCGATGCATTCTGCGTTATTTACATTATCAGACAGAGCGCTCTCATTTTCCCCACTGGCAACTATTTTGTGGTCACATGGACATCTTGGGTTACCATGACAATTGGAAACAGGCCATTTAATAACCCTGGAGGAAGACTATTTTGGCTCACCACTAAAAAATAACCGAGACTCTTGAACCAAAACAAAGTTGATCATCTGCGCAGGAACACGTGGTACATGCCGAGCTCCTCACCTCAATGGGGCCGGCGAGGGTGACCGTGGTGACGGCGTTGAGGGCGACCGTCAGATCTCCTGGGATGATGACAGGGTCTGGAGAAATCTGCAGGCTCTTGAGGATGGCCACGTCGCTCTCCGGTCCACAGTTGTTCCAGGCGAAACTCTTCACCTTCAAGTGCTGCAAAAAAGGTCGCTCGCAATTGTGGTTCAACTACGCAACATTAGCCTGCCCGGTGGTCCACGCGAGCGCTGGAGAATGTCGTTTTAAGGTTGTGGGAAAAACGTGTGCCGATGCCTCGATCGCCATCAATGGGGTAAACAATCGCCAAGGATGAGCGTTTTAACTATTTCAACAACGTCAATCCAGCCCTCGTCATTTTTATTTTATTTTATACAAATGCTCAGTCCTCACAAGAGCCGAGTTTATTATCAACACGTGATGATGCTGCGTTCATGGTGCAGTTTGCTAAACGCCGACACGCCACCCACACGTGTAGAGTTAATATCTTGAAAACATTCCCAGGGACAGGGTAGACAGTGGTGTCAATGCACAAGTTGTTGTTTTCGTCTTTACTGGAAGTCAGCACATGTGGCATAATACAAGGTTTTAACCACTCTTTACGAGTTTTACTGGCGTCGCTGCATTTAAAACGGTCCACTTGGTACCCGTAAAAAGAAGTTTCCCATGCATAAACAAATATCACAGCAACGTGAGCAGGACAGCCTTTTGGCAATCCACTGCTGGATGGCAGGCAGCGTAGATAGACAAGTACAGCACAGAAATGGAATTTGCTCCACTGGCCACCACACACAAGCACACGTGGTTGTTTGTGCAATGGTGGTCACCCCGTCAAAGTAATATCCAGGAGACCCCCCCCCCCCCCCAAAATTCGTTGAACGAGAAGCGTCGCATTCCGAGGCGAAACAACAAGCCATGGTGTCGTGAACGGACCCAGTGGTACTAGTAGTCAATGTGAAACACGCCACACGAGTCAAACTGGGGGAATTTACGTTTATACCTTACAGCTTATTAAAAAAACACATTTCAGCATAGCAACATGGCATTTCTGAAAGCAAAGAACGGTTTAAATACAGTAGCCCAAGTATTTGGAAAGGCCCTCCTCATTCAGCAGCGGTTTCACAAAAGGGTCTTGCATACTCAGCCCACACACTGTTTGGGGCACGTGCTGTTAGCGAGCACATATGTAGGCCGGCACGGTGGGTGGTGTGTGTCCAGCACCACGCCCGTCCGCCTTTGTCTCTCCGGTGGTGATGTTTACACACCCACCACACCAGGTACTAATTTAAGGCCGAGTCGACCTAACGGCGGCCCAGGACCGGTTCATATATTCGTCAACGATGTTGACCGTGAGCGGGAATCGAACTGGGGGTGGGTCGCTGGGATTGTAGCGCAGTACGCTAACCACTACACTGCCGCCGTTGGCCACCGAGTGGCAGTGACGTCACGGTGCTTGTGCCAAGCTAGGTGCACTTTTAGACCACGTGGTTGTATATACACGTGCATGCACATTGGGAAAGGCACAATAAACTTGTTTATTTCGAGCGTGAATCAACAAACTTGAATACTTGGTTTCTAGTTTGTTGTTGTTGGGTGTGGTGCGTGTTGTTGGTGCTTTATATTACTCTAGCAAGATGTCAAACTCGCACATTGAGATTTAATCAGGAGCGCCCTTTGCCAATGAGAGGGCGTTCCATACTGCCCTAAAACGCGGTTGTCCCGCCTTCTGATGGTGACATAAGTTCATTACTCGACGAGTGCCAGAGAAAGGAGCATATCCAGCATGATTCAACGTGTCACAACAAACCCAGCGATGCCGGTTTACTCGGTTTAGATTCAGAGCAGTCGCAACACGCAACCCCCCCCCGCCCCCAGTCAACCCCCACTTTTCTACAGGGTAACCACCACACGCACACATCCCACTGCAGTAGCACGGCGGGTGATGTTAGCGAGTGCCTATTAAGTGAAGCCAGCGCAGTGTAGCAGTGCAGCTCTACATACGAGCAGCTGCTGGTGTCACAGAATTACGCCACCGATTTCTGGCCTGCGTCTCTCGTTATCGTTATCGATCGTTGAAAAGAAAACACTCGGGGTGCTGCGTTTTTAATCGGAGTTATCAATTGGCAGGGTGACGATGGGCCCCCCTGGACTTTAACTTCAGAGACACACACACACCGGTTTAACCTTTGGGTTTAGCGCCAGTCAGCTGAGTACGAACCCACCCGTTCTTCTGCGATCCTTCAACGGAGGAGGAACAGCAAAACGACACCAACTCACGAAGCACTCTCGTCGTGGCTAGCAGACACATTGGAATGCAGCCCCTGAATATAATGCTGCCATACGCAAGAATAGAAGAAAAGTTTAACAATAAAAAAACGAGTGGACAGTTGCAATCTACGTAAACACACCTTAGTTTCCGGGTTCAATGCTGCACGGGGAATTCAACGTTGTTTGAGGAACAGACCCACCCGGCCATCTGCTGCAGATCTCCACCCCAGACCATATGACCTGCTAAGTAGTCATCCCCATCCAATTAGGTAGCTACTACATCCCGTCCCTCGGCTCTGTGTGCTCACCAATTCCAGGCAGGTATAGAGCCAATGGTCTAGAGGTCTTCATCTGCCTGGCTGGACGGGTGAAGACCCGTCCAGCCAGGCAGACCCAACCCATCCACAACGCAGGGTTTTTTTGGGGTGAGATCGCGTGAATATATAAATGTGTCGTTAAACCCGCCACCACCCGACACAGACAATAAGTAGGGGTTGTCACTTGAACAGAACGTGCAAATTCGTTCCTAGTAAAGTACACCGGTGACAACCCTTCCTAATTGGTCGTGTCGGGTGGCGGCGGGTTTAACGACAGAGTTACAGATTCACGCGATCCAACCCAAACAAACCCTGCGTTGTGGATATTGGTCGCGTACCGTCGACGAATGTCCACCAAGTTCAGCCGACAGCCCACGAGACATTGCGTACACGCGCACGCCGAATTGAACCTTTCCCATGGAATTAAACCTTCACCGCCGAATTAAACCTTTCCCATGGAATTCCGAGGCCAACAATTTCGCCCGGGAGGTTGGGGTCCTGAACCGTCCAGCCACGGCCGACTTGGGGGGGGGGGTGTGTGGGGGGCCCGTGTCACCCGAAGGTCCTCCTCGCCTTACCGCCCCATCCAGGTCGAACCAACCCCCTCTCCCCCGCCGATTGGCGCGGTCGGCTACGTGCGGTGCGAAAGAAGTTCTCCGTCCGAGAAGCCCCGAGAGGCCTCCTCACCTGGCGCGTGGGATGCACCCAGGCGCTGAAGACGCGGTAGGGGCTGGGCGCCATCCAGTGGGGCCGCCTGGGCCACACGGCGGCGCGGGCCGTCTGGGCGCAGAGCACCACCACCACCGCCACCACCACCACAAGCGCCGCTCCACAGCCACGCATCGCCGCTTGCGGTTGTTGGTCGCTCGTGCGCGAGACTTGAAATAAAAATAAATGAAGCGCTTGATTGGGTGGGAGGGGGTACCAGGAATTAAACGCAATATAGGGTGATTGAATGCGAGGGAGGTAACAGGAATTAAATACAATTTCGGGTCGAGTGAATACGAGAGTGGGTACAGACTGCGCTAACACGCACCGCGACTCTAAGCCGTGCGCGCGAGCGCTCTCCGCTTTATATAGCGCGTGGTCACGTGATCCGCCATGGGCTCGGGGGCGGGGCTTGCCTTGTGCATGATGACGTCATGCGCAATCGGACTGCGGCACGAGGAATCCGATGAGCTGCAAAGCTCTTTACTCACAGATGTCCAGTAGGGGCAGGACGTTACAACAAAACTAACGATGCAAACAACACGACAGGAGTGCAGAGTGTAGCAAATGTAAACTAATCATTTAAAATATATACAAATAAAACCACATTAGTTTTAAATGTCTTTAAATAAAGACTCAACACGTGAGTCAGTCACACTATGTGTGTGGCCTTCAAATAAAACATTTAATAAGCGACGTTTCGGAAAACGATCCTTCTTCATAGGGGCCGTCCATAAATGACGTCACGCGATTTTGGACGATTTTTGACCCCCCCACCCTCGTCACACGGCGTCACAAAAAGTCAGACCCCCCTCAAATATGACGTCATAAAGCTCTGCCCCCCCCCAAATAAAACATGCTTCAAATCGCTTTAAACTATTGTCATTGTAGTGCGTATTTAATGTGCCGTTGCACTCTGATGTTGCAGGAGAAAACATTTATCAAAAAGTCTATTTAATTAAGTAGAACGTGTTTTCTATATTTATTTAAAGTTGCGCATTTTGATGTGACGTCACATTTCTCACCCCCCCCCCCCCTCGTCACACATCGTCACAAATGTCTGACCCCCCCCCCCTAGGTGCGTGACGTCATTTATGGACGGCCCCATAGCACACATATAGTAGGCGACGCTTCGGGCACTGGCCCTTCATAGGCCATGACGCGCACATTTAGAGTGAGCTATTGTTCAGGTCACGGTGTTAGTGGAGGGCGTGTTGAGGAGTCTGTGCTGTGTTCGTTATGCTCCACTGACACAGCAGCATCAACAATGAATGGCTTTCTTCTTGCTAATCGCAACTCCGATTAGCCCGGTTGGTTACGTGTGGTGCTGCGAAATAAGTTCAACTTACTGGACATCTGGGGGGGGGGGGAAGAGCTTTATGGCTCATCGGATTCCTGTGGTACGATGTGGGGGGGGGGCTCGCCTCGTTGTGTGACTCCCGCAGTGACGTCATTACGATGTAGGCGAGGCTCGCCTGTTTAACTCGAGCGGTGACGTCATGACGATGTGGGCGGTGTCCACCTCATTGTTTAACTCGCGCGGTGACGTCATGACGATGTGGGCGGAGCTCGTCTGTTTAACTCGCGCAATGACGTCATGACGATGTGGGCGGTGCCCATCTCATTAACTTGCGCGGTGACGTCATGACAATGTGGGCGGTGCCCACCTCATTGTTTAACTCGCGCAATGACGTCATGATAATGTGGGCGGTGCCCACCTCATTGTTTAACTCGCGCAATGACGTCATCCGGATGGGCGGCTCCCGGTTCCCGGGCTCCAGAGGATCCGGTTCCAAGCTGGAGTGGAGTTCGGTGCCAGCTCAGAGGGCTTTGTGCGCCTCTGCGTTACAAGCTCATCGGGCATAGAAGTGCAGTACAACACTCGATTTGTTTTGCCTGCGTTGCCCAAGCGCCGCCCACGATGTAGCGCCGTGGCAGGCCACAAGAGCCGCGGTTGTGCATGGTGGTCGCCCATTCAATCGCTATCCAGGCTGCTTATCTTGCTCCAAGTGACACATTCCTGCCGACTTTAGCCATAAGCAATCATAACAAGAGTTGATCGGCAGAGGAGCAAAGCGTCAAGTTGCCAGCAACAAACAGCACGTTTACAAACGTCAGGATTCTTGAATTGAGCGACGTTATAGTGGCTTGGGGAGATGATGGGAAAAGATAAGGGCCATGGTCCGAAACGTCGCCTGTGCCAGTCCAGTATATATTAAAACAATATTTTCGCGCAACAATTTAGGTTCAAAATGAAGGCAATGCAATTCCTGATTGGGGTTGACTCAACCCATTACCCGTTTAGGGATCAATACACCAGGTAAGGCCCACTGATCGAACCTCTCTTTTCAGCAGCGACCTGCCTACAAGTGAAAGCTCAACGAATAGGAAATGTACAGCAGCCAAATACTCTGAACGCGTGTTGTCGATTCTAAATGTGGACCGAGAAACCACACGACAACGGAGAGAGAGAGACGCAAACTCCAAATAAACAACAGCAGCAGCAGCAGGGAGCTAACATCTCACCACGATCCACGATGTGGGGCTAGGGGATACGTGGATAGAAGCACGCATCCCCGCCATGGTAATGTGGAATTTCCACCACTGCCTGTGCAGGAGGACTGTAAACGGGCGAAGATCATTGCTGTCTGAGTTGTTTGGTTGAGCGAGGAAGACTTTCGTTGTTGTACCTTCCTTACCCCGTGTCTCGACTGGACGACTGTGACAAGAAAACTTCGTAGATCATCGGATTCCCTCCTCCAGTATAGATAATAATTATTATTATCACATTCAGATTCCGAATTGAAATACAAACGTCACAACGCCCTGGACTGGACGGAGGCCGCCACTGGGTCTGCTTCTTCATCACCACCAACATCATATCATCATCACCACCATCAACATCAACCACCATCGTCATCAACTAAAATCAACCACCATCATCACTACCAATATCACCACCATCAACATCATCAAAATCAATCAACATCAACCATCATCAAAATCAACCACCATCATCATCACCACCACCACCATCATCAATACCAACCACCATCAACATCATCACCACCATCATCATCAATATCAACCACCATCATCATCAATATCAACCACCATCATCATCAATATCAACCACCATCAACATCATCACCACCATCACCACCATCATCAACCACCATCATCAATATCAACCACCATCATCACCACCACCACTACCACCGCCGCCGCCACTGCCGTGGGGCAGCGCTCGTCCCCTGCTGGACCCGGTTCCGGGCTCGAGACGGCGGCTCGCAACTCTCCGATGAACGTGGCCGCTCCGCTCCGCCGCCTTCTTCACTCCGCCGCCGCCTTCTTCACTCCGCCGCCGCCTTCTTCACTCCGCCGCCGCCTTCTTCACTCCGCCGCCGCCTTCAACTCCGCGACTTAAACGCGACATCGGACGCCGTCGGTCGTGCGCCTCTCGTCGCTTCCAGCGGCCGCCGGGTCGGTCGTCGTTCCCCGCCTGTCGAGCACGCGGTGGAGGTGAAAGGGCCGAACCCATGCGCCGATCCCAGTGAAAGGTACGAGAGCGATCCCGTTATGTAATCGATGATGATGATGATGGATCGAACCGGACTCGTTAATCACATCACCCAGCAACGTGCGTGTGCTGAGTGGCCAAAGTGGTGCATCTTCAATTCGCCAATTCTCGGACAAAGCAACTGAATGGTAAACTCACTAACATCTGAGTATCTTTAATAGTTGCTGTTCATTGTCCATGGGAAATAAGAATAACAGCAAGTCGTGGGGTGGGTAATGACTGGTCACGGAGCCATTGTTTAAAGGGCTCCGCGTCTACTCTCATGGTTATGTTGAGTTGTTGTTCAAAGAGATTACGGCGATTTGTCATCTCCAACTTGTTTGTAAAGTTGTTAAATTGACCGAGTCTTAAACCAGGAGACGGTGTTTGATAGGGAACAATAGTTAATTAAAAGTTATTTAAACGTCGTGTTTGTGGAATTTGGATGCTTGCTTGTTTGGGAGAGAACAATGGGGTGAATGTTTAATAATTAAGCCAAAATCAGAGCAGTGGGCAGGTAACCGCTGAGAGCCTGGGATAATGGGATAAAACTTAGGAGCAGCCCGTGATAAAATTGGCTTCTCAAGTGTAGATGGTCTCCTCAACCTCGGTCACAGTGTTGTTTTTCACTTTAATTTGCCAAATTCCATCTCTGACGAAACGACTTGATGTGATGGACACGATGCTACCACTGTTACATTGCTTTTATGGCTTTGTTTTGGTGATTTCGAAAAGTTTTTTGGTTTGGCCATGTTTGTTTATTGTAGTACGGAGTTAGACTGATGGCTTTAATCTAAGTTGTCTTGTGGTTGTTGTTGTTTGACTTGCATCCCACTGGGATTTTTACACACAGCGTTGGTGTACGGTACTTTTTTCTGGAATTTTTGCTCTTTTTTTTTTCCTGGATTTTCAGTTTGCACATCGTCACATAGTCACTTTAAGATGTTTTTTTGCTCATGTTTTAGTTTTTTGTTTGTTGCGGTTGCACCCGATTCCAGAGCCGAATGGCTCACAGGGCTATACCTAATAAATAAACTTGAAACTTGAAAAGCTTCGTGTAGGCAGAGGCCTATTGAAGTGACCTCAGAAGTAGTTCTGCATTGTCATCTTTTGGTGGCTGTTCTCTTACACAGGTTAATCCACTGTTGTCTGCAATGCCGAATGGAAATGTTTTCATCACATGATAATATGATGTCTGTAGCGCTGTTGGGATTTCAGTGAGGGGGGGAAAGGCAAATCAAATTGTGCAAAATTGCATCGGTGCCTGGATGTATGTCAGTGTTAGCGCTTTAACTGAAGGTGGATCAGTTCGTCTTGTTTGTGGAATGGAATTGTTGATAGGCAAATGATTGACAAGACGGGTGTAGGTGGATTTTGAGCATAAAAAGTTGTGTTTGTGTATTTAGAAAGAGAGTGACATTGAGATATCCTGATGGAGTCTATTTGGAGCTTTGAAAGCTCTGTGCCAAGCAGAGAAAGGTAGATATTGCATCCGAGCGCTGTAGTAACAAGAGCTGAACACAATTGGGAAGTGGCTGTGATTAAAGTCTTAGCGAGAGCTTAACGTTACAAAAGTTGCATAAAGTAGCGAATGTTAATCACGCAAAGTTAAAGCGAACTGTTAAACATATCCCCGTGTCTGTGCTACTCATAACTTAATATCCATGACTTCGACGATGAAGCCACGCCACGATGTTGTGCTTTGCTCTAACATTGGTGTCATAGCATGGTCAAAATTACAGTACTCTTTGTCCTTATTGTATGGTTCTTTCGGTAAAGTCCCGTAGATAGAAAAACATAATAACAATTAAATAATAAAAATAAAGGGAATAAAAATAATAAAAATATCACGACGATTCGATCGCAACACAAGCGGTCGCCATCCTATTGTAAAGTAGGAGCCGACACCAGATTGCAGGGGTCTCGTCCTTTATTCTTTTCCTTCCATCCACACCTGTCCCCCAGCCGTCCCAATCTCGTTCCCGCCAAAGGCCCCTTCTTCCCGCCCGTTCTCTCCTTATATCTCTTCGATCACCCCTCCCACTAACCCATCTATTGGTGGGAATCCTTCCCCTGACACCCCTACATCACCCCCCCCCCCGGAGAAAAAAATAACCGTCCTCGGTTCTGCCTCCCCCATGGACCATTTAAATCTCCCCATGCCTCCCCCCACTGACAGTGACGACAGCCCTTACCCCCCCCACAACCATACAATGCAACATAACACAACGAAATCAATTGCGCGGCCTGCCCAGGTCTCCAGCCAGCATCCCGTAACAGCCCGGACATCCACAGGCAGCAGATGACCGTGGCGGCCCCCTCCTTCGAAGGCCCTCTCGTCGCGGTCCCTGGTTCGGTGGTGCTGGTGTCGCCTTGCCCGGCGCCGCTGTCTCTCCGGCCCCCGCTCGTGCCGCCGCTCCGTCAGGCCTCACATGGGGTGCTGTAGGTGACAAGGGAACACAGGGCACCGAACCCCCTGCCGGTCGGTGCGTGGTGGTCGGCGACCTTGGCCTGGGTAGGGATGATGATGATGTTGGCAGTGATGTTGGTGGTGATGTTGGTGAAGATGACGGTGGAGAGATGTATGGCTTAAGGCGGGTGGGGTGTACAAACCATCGTCGCTTACCCAGTTGGACCTGGACGCACTGCGGTCGGAGTGCTTTAATGACCTCGACCGGCCCTTTCCAGGGTCGGTGCAGCTTTGGTGAGAGGCCAACCGGCACCTGAGGACAGTGTAGCCATGCCTGGTCCCCGACTTTGAAGGGCTTGGCTGTCACTGTCCTCTCCCGTATCCGTACATTACTCTCTTGGCTCGTGGCCGATGCGGCCTCGGCTGCTTGGCGGGCCTCTCTCAAATAAATGAGGGAGGTCTTTAGTGCCTTCGGCCATGTGTCGGCTCTTGCGGGAATGTCCGTCAACTGCACCTCAATAGGCGGAACGGGATCCCGTCCGTACATCAGGAAAAACGGCGAGAACCCCGTCGCCGCGTGTGGGGCCACCCTGTACGCCGCTAAGACAGATGGAATGTGGAGGTCCCAGTCGGAATGGTTTTCGTCCACCACTTGGGACAGCATGGCCGCTATGGTGCGGTTAAGCCGCTCTACCATCCCATCGGTCTGGGGATGATACGGAGATGTTCGGACCTTTTTAGTGCCCAGGATAGAGCAGACGTCCTTCAATAGCTGTGAGGAGAAATTCCTGCCCTGATCCGTGAGCAACCGCTCCGGTGCCCCCTTATCAAGGACATAGCCTCCCACGAAGGCATCGGCGATGGTCTGTGCCGTTTGGTCCGGGAGGGCCCACGCCATCGGCCACCTCGTGCAGTACTCGACTCCGACCAACAGGTATTTATTTCCCCGTGGCGTGACCGGCAGTGGTCCCAGGATGTCCAACGCAACCAATTCGTTGACCCTGGTCACCGTGATGGGCTGTAGGGGCGCCCGGCTTACCCGGGGTGGCGGCTTTCGCCGCGCACATTCGACGCAGGTAGCGACCCATCGATGCACATCAGCGGTCATACCTGGCCAAAAGTACCGACTCTGTAATGTGTACAGTGTCTTCCGCCCCGCCAGGTGCAGCAGCTGGCGGCCGTGTACGTCCATAACCAATTGTTGACGCAGCGACTCCGGAACTACCAGGCATCGTCGGCGCCCTGTCGGGTCCCATCGCATGAGGAGGTCCTCCCATACGATGTACTCCTCCCCCCCTGCCTCTGCTGAGGCGCGTAGCGTTCGCAGTGGGGCTTCCTCCAGCTGTAGCCGTCGCCAATCGTCCAAGGTCAGCCCCAGGTCGTGGTCGGTCAGCTGGACCTCACCCTGTGCGTCCTCCGCCGTGCGTACGGGAGCGATGACTGTCCCCTCCGGCCTCGCCTCCTTGCAGCGTGCCCCGCCTGTGGTGCATGCACAAGGGCCCTGGGGCGCCAGTCGGGACAATGCGTCTGCGTTGGCATGTCTGGTCCCTTTGCGATGCACTACTTGGTACCTGTACTCCTGCAGGCGCTCTATCCATCTGGCCAGCTGGCCCGAAGGCTGGTCGATGCGGAGCGAATACTGCAAGGCCGCGTGGTCAGTGCGGACCGTAAATTTGCGACCATACAGGTAGGGTCGAAATTGCTGCACGAAGTGAACGACTGCCAGGAGTTCCCTACGTGTGACGCAGTAGCGCTGCTCCGCTGATGAAAGCACGCGACTACCATAGGCGATAACCACCTCGCGACCCTGCTGGACTTGCGACAAAACACTGCCGATGCCCACATCGCTGGCGTCCGTGTCCAGGATAAAGGGGAGGCCAAAATCCGGAAAAGCCAATGGTGGTGCATCTGTCAGACGTGAGCGCAGCTGCTGGAATGCCTCTTCCTCCAGAGGGCCCCAATAAAACCTCTGGTTCTTCGCCGTCAACACGTGCAAGGGCTTGGCAATGGTTGCGAAGTTGGGTACGAACCGGCGGTAATAAGAAACGAAACCCACAAACCGGCGTACCTCTGGAACCGTTGTGGGAACAGCCCAGGCCCTCACGCAGGCCGTCTTTTCCGGGTCTGTAGCCACTCCAGACTCACTGACGACGTGGCCCAAGTAGCGTACCGACGACTGCATAAGGTGGCACTTCGACGGCTTGAGCTTCAAGTTCGCGTTCCGGAACCGCAGGAATACCTGACGTAATCGGTCAATGTGTTCCTCGAATGATCGGCTGAAGACAATGACGTCATCCAGGTAGATGAGGCACGTTTCCCATTGGAGGCCTGCTAAGGCCAACTCCATTATGCGTTGGAACGTCGCCGGCGCAGTCTGGAGGCCCATAGGCAGGCAGTTGAACTCGAACAGGCCCTGTGGTGTCCGGAACGCTGTTTTAGGCCGGGAGTCCGCGTCTAGTGGGACCTGCCAGAACCCGGACAATAAATCCAGCGTACTGAAAAATTTTGCTCCCGCCAGTGCATCCAATGAGTCGTCAATACGTGGTAGGGGATATGCGTCGGCCAGCGTGACGGCATTGAGGCGTCGGAAGTCCACACAGAATCTCAGTGACCCGTCTGACTTCTTGACTAGGACCACCGGTGCCCCCCAGGGACTCGAGGATGGAGAAATTATGTCGGCCCGCAGCATCTCCTGCACCGCTTGTTGAATGTGCCCTTTTTCCATTGGGCTCATTCTATATGTGTTTTGGCGCAGGGGTGCGGCATCTCCCGTGTTAATGTGGTGCTGCGACAGATTTGTGCGCCCTAGGTCGAACGGTCCCCGGCTGAACACGTCCGAGAACTCATGCAATAATGAGTGCAGCTGCTGTTTCTGGTCGGGCGGCAATCCCGGCTCAGGCCCCGCCAGCTGGTCCATCCACGATTCGGCCCCTCTGTCCTCGGACTGGCTGATGCTGCCTACAAGCTCGGGCTTTGTCCCTGGGGCTCCTAGTGACAAGGGACTAACGTGGGCCAGAACTGTTCCCTCCTGCACCGTCGCTGTTCTATCGGAGATGTTCAGCACCTGAATGAACAGATGCTGGTTCCTCTGTACAATAGTTTCGGCCCCCACCAGCGCATGGCGATCCATGGCAGCTGATGCCGGAGACACCAGGATGGGTGAGTCTGGTCGGGCTGTCACGATCCATGGTGTCCTCCAGGCGATCCGGGCCCCCTGCTGCTGCTTCTGATAGCAGGCCCCCTTGTTGCCCGGGATGGGAAGGATCCCCGGCCCCTGCTTCCTCCTCCCTTGGCTCTTTCCCGCGGGGATTTTTCTTTGTAGCCATGAGATCCCACCGCTGCCACCAGATGTAAAGTAGGAGCCGACACCAGATTGCAGGGGTCTCGTCCTTTATTCTTTTCCTTCCATCCACACCTGTCCCCCAGCCGTCCCAATCTCGTTCCCGCCAAAGGCCCCTTCTTCCCGCCCGTTCTCTCCTTATATCTCTTCGATCACCCCTCCCACTAACCCATCTATTGGTGGGAATCCTTCCCCTGACACCCCTACACTATTATTATATTTTTTCTATCTACGTGACTTTACCGAAAGAACGATAGAATATGAATTCCTGCAGTCACGAAAGTTTTAAGTTACTATTTGGCCTTATTTCTCTCTGTCTACCTCTTTTCCTCTTTCCTTCCCCTTAAAAAAAAAACATCAACAGTTTCTCTGTTGGGATTGTTTGGGAAAGACATTGAAGCCTAACCCTGCCTCCTTCTTTACCAACCCGACCATTCCTGGGACATCCGGTCCCAGCCACTGTAACTTTACAACTGCGGCGATGTCGAGGATGATTCTGCGCAAATGCTCAGTGGCTTCTCATTTGTTGCTGGACTCGCCGGAGCTCTTACGAAGCGAAACACTGCTCCATCCACTGCTGGATGAGGTCTTCTCAAACTGAGCATTGCTGAAACAGAGGCCAACCGAATAGCTGAAGACAGTTTTGCGGTATTTTATTATTTTGGACCTCATCTTGTTTGTGTTGTTCACATGCGGTAACTCTATATCCCTCCACCGACAGTAACAATATCGTGCCAGTAGAAATATCTCCGTGGAATTTCAATTTAAAGCTTTCGTGACTGCAGGGGTTAATATTCTTGGTTCTTTCGGTAAAGTCACGTAGAAGGGAAATAATAAAATAATACAAATTAATCAATAAAATTCTCACGACGCTGTGGTTTTCACACCTGATGATTGCTTGTGTTGGAATCGAAACGTCGTGATAATTTAATTGGTTTACTTTTCTTATTTTCTTATTTCCCTTCTACGTGACTTTACCGAAATAACCAAGAATATATCTCCGTGGAAGTCGAGAGCTGCCCCACCTGCCTTATAACGTGTTAGTCCTCCTGAATCAGGGATATCGAAAACCAGCAAAGCTGGGTACTCTCAGCGTTTGTTAAAGTGAACCGTCAGCTGATCTAGCCCAGAGTGAACAATGTGAGCAGGGGCCCATGCTTCGCAATCCCCCATTGTTCCCTGTTGACATTGGATTGTAATCCCCGCTGCCAATTCACCACCACCCTGCCTATTTATCTGAGGACTATTTCAGTTCATATCAAGCGCCACAAAACATGTATGTATGCAGAAGCAGAACACATGTTAGCAGGAGAGTTGTGTATAACTCTGCAGTTTAGCCAGTTACCCAGCTAGTTTTGTCGACAACGGACCTACAGCCACTAACAATAGAGCCATTGGGGTGGAGAGGAGACCAGCCAGCAGCCAGCCAGGAAACTCGAGGCCTTTATTATTCTTAATAATAGTATGATAACGGCCCTGGAAAGATGATTGTGGCTAACGTAGCCTCGTTGTGTCCAGGAGAGAAGACTGAGAAGAACCACTGGTACATTGGGAGGAGCAGAATGAAGGGCTCCGTACAGAATGCCGTGGCCAAGGCAGTGCCGCAGGCCTCGGAGGCCGCACCCGACGCTGTGTCAGTGGGACCAGGACACCTGGAGGCCACCAAGGACGGGGGCTGCGAGTTCATGGTGCCTGAGTCGTGGAGGCACTCGGTCAGCCAGGCCTTGCTGGCGCTGTTTGAGAAGGAGCAGCTGTGCGACGTCACAATCAAGGTGAGATGCCTACAAAGGTTCGACTTGGTCACTCCTGGGTAACTTTGTGTTCATCCGGTAAGCCGGGCCTTGAGTTAGGCCTCCTGTTCATACTGTAGGTCAGTCAGCTATTATGGTTGGCTATGTACGGTGTGAAAGAAGCTCAACGTACATACATAATGCGGATACCATTTTGACTGTTAAGAAAAGTAAATTGGCTTGGGCAGGACAAGTCGCTCGAAGGGATGACAGTGGGTTGTCATGACTGACGATGGAGTTGCAGCCAGGGTAGATCACGCGCCAAAAGGGGATGAGCTAAGTGTGTCAGGCTTGTGTGTGTCTTTTTGTCAGAGGCGAATGCATAACGGGGTTGTTCGTGCTCTCGGCATCAGGTGGGCGCTAAGCGGATCCCGTGCCACCGTGTGGTGCTGGCGTCAGCGGTGCCCTACTTCCGCGATATGTTCCTGTCGGACATGCTGGAGACGCGGCAAGGGGAGGTGTCACTCCAGGACCAGCAGCTGGAGGAGGGCGCCGTGGAGGCGATTGTGCGCTTCGCGTACGAGGGCCGTGCCCGGCTGGCGCCCGACGGCGTGCAGGCGCTGCTGTACGCTGCGTGCATCCTGCAGGTGGAGGTGTTGGTGGGCGCCTGCTCCACCTACATGCAGAGGAACCTGGATGCGTCCAACTGCCTCGGCGTGCGCGCCTTCGCGGAGATGCACAATCTGAAGGTTTGGATGGGCCTCTTCCCGATAGCCTTGCTCTATAAGAATGGCGCAAATTCCAAATGTACGAAATAGTTATTAGGGTGCCTGGGAAATTGTATAGGATCATTGAGATGCATTTTTGTTTAAACTGATTGGTTTCGGTTTATGGCTTTTTTGAGACACGAAAAATATTGAGAAGCAGTTGGAAGCCCATTGAGATTCATTGGCTTCCCCCTGCACCCACACAAACACTCCATCCCAGTGGCATGTGATTATCTGTTCTATGATTTATCAACAGGGCTTACATCACATGCTGTTGTAAATGGTGTAGCGGATAAGCAGTGGTGTGACCGATAAGCCAGATTACCGAAATCATCCATTGATCAAATAGTCTTTGAAGAATTCTCAAAAGACATAATGCTGAATGAACGGTATTTGAACAGCTATGTACTACTCATGAAATAAGTATATTCATGTCATACTTAAGCTGTCACTTTTGCTTCAGAAGTATTACATTAGCAAGCATTTTAATGTTCATTTTATTTTTTATTTGAAACTGCAGTGTACGTTTATTGTTTATTTTCTGCATGTTCTTGCCATGTTGTTAAAATATTATTGTGTTATATAAATTTTCACACACAGCTTGGGATCTTTTTGGATTTTATGTTTCGTACTCCGCCCACAGAAGTTGATGTCGGCGGCGGATGACTTTACGCGAGAGAACTTTGGCGCAGTGGCAGTGGCGGAGGAGTTCTTGGACGTCTCTCCGTCCCACCTGGTGGCCCTGCTCTCATCCTGCGACCTGAGCGTGGTCGGCGAAGTGCAGGTGTACGAGGCCACCATGCGTTGGCTCCGCAGAAACTCGCAGCACCACGAGCGATGGCTCCCCACCATTGCCGAGCAGGTGACCCAGCCACTGTCGCAGCCTGTAGGCCGCTCCATCTATCTCCCATGGCAAGAACAACTATATTGTAGGTGACATTTTGTGTGATGACCCTTCTTCATACCATGTAAAAAATAAGGGCCACAGCCTGAAATGTCATATATTATATATTCTTGGTTTAAGGCAGTGATATTTACAAACTCTTAGTTGTCATTTTACAACGCTGCCAATGCATCATCACCAAATAATTAGTCAAAAGAGGAGGTTGTTTGAACACCATGTTAGCAGTTCTGGTCATGATCTCCCTCCACCTTGCCCGGTCCTCAGCTTCATGGACCAGCCAATTGTGGTTTTAAGCACATCCAGTCTGAGCATGTTCAGAATACATGTTTTTCTTGGGGGCCTATGTTCCCTACCTTCAACGTCCACTGACCAACGTGGTGAAGTTTGTATATATAATTCTCACGACCCGTACGGAGTGGACGGGCCCTCGTTCAGCAGCATCTTGACCAAAGGGCTGTATATGTATGTGTCTTCGTGGATTAGCATAGTCTTGGTGAGGTGGGTCTCATGTTTGAACGATATCTACTTTGGAGGTCCGCTTCCCGCTGCTGCCGCTGGACTTTCTGATGCGCACGGCATTCCGCGAGGAGCTCCTCAAGCGCAACATTCGGTGCCGGGATCTTTTGGACGAAGCCAAGAACTTCCACCTCCACATGCAGCACCAGGACGAGCTGACCGAATTCGAGTTCTCTGTGCGCACCACACCGCGAAAGAGTGCTGCCGGTACCAGCATCTTCAACTTAAGATTAAAAAAAAAAATTTCCCCAAGTTTGTCCTGATTCTGCAATAAGCATGATGTCTTCAGCTGAACTCTTGCAGAGCAGTGTAACCCTTTTTGTTAGCCCTGCTTGATAGGATCTTAGAGCTACCTCTGAGATATATTCAAGTGACTTCACAAAGTAGGGACAACAATTTGCTACACTCCCTGGCACACAGTAATGTTCATTGCACGACAGTCAAACTGATATTTGTTTTACTTACATCTGGAATTAAATTTAGTGTGATGGTCTTTATGAACATACTCATTGGTGACCATGCTAAGATCATTCATCCCAGGATCTCCCCAGAGCCATCTCCGTGCATTGACCCGTGAGCCTCCCATAAACAGTGGTTATTGTAATAATAATAACACATGCTCACTACCATCAAGGACCGCACAAGTTCATCTTCTTCGCACAAATTGTAACATGTTTGTATTAAGGATGTGAAGATATGAAAGATATGAAAGTGTCAGCTGGAACTTAACTGCGGACATGCCTAATAATATCTGGCCTGTGCTGTTGACACGGGAAGGAGTGCTCTTCTGCGTGGGTGGCCGGGGAAGCATGGGAGACCCTTTCCGGAGCATCGAATGCTATGACCTGCAGACTGGAAGCTGGTTCCTCGCTGCCGAGATGAACAGTCGCAGGCGACACGTGGGCGTCATCTCTGTGGGAGGTGAGTTGAGCCCCTAGGAAGCCTGACTCTGCTGATGAGACCCAGAAGATCGAAACGGTTCCAGATTTTCCTTGCTTTAAACAAATGTTGCCGGATAATATCGGCTTGGAAATACACTAGACTGATAGACTGAAATCTATTGTTAGAACGGAGCTCTACTAATTTATGCGTTTACCTTAGGAATACAACTCTCTTAGCTGGTGTTATCGCAGGAGAAGGATGGCCTGGGTTTTACGTAGAATGGGGGATGAATATGTACAATGTGTCATCTATTTTTATTGTTTCTCAAGCAATCAGTCACCGAGTCACGAGTGAGAGCAGCCCATAATAGAATAAGTGCATTCGTAAAAATGGCACGAATTAGCATGGCGTAAGATATTTTCCCCTTTATAGCAACACACTTCACCCATGAGGTGGTATCATGATGACTTGACGTGGATATGTTTTGTATGTTACGCCAGGAGTAACAATGCGATATGTAAATTGCTGAGATCATGTTTGAACAATTTGGATGGTTATTTTAGCGCATGTGTACTTGGCCGAGCCAGGCCACAGTGTCATGGTCTGCTGTCAGTCCTCCATCCAGTGTGCCCAGAAAATAATTCTCAACAATATGCATCATAATGTGGACGTGTCCATATTTACAGGGCTATCCCAGATGCCCAACTGGCCTTGTTTGCTGTGCACTGAACAAAGGGATGTTGTAATTTCTGCAGGGAAAGTATATGCGGTGGGTGGACACGATGGCAATGAGCACCTGACAAGCATGGAGATGTTTGATCCTCTCACCAACAAGTGGATCCCCAGGGCCTCGATGAACACCAAAAGGTACGGGGATGCAGATATATGATGGTGATAATATCTTTTGCCTGTGGTCAGGTTGCCCGGAATGTGGCCAATCTTATGAGATGATCAGGATTGAGACTGGATAGTCCTTACATGGGCGACCACCATGCATCAAACAGATGCTGGAGGTTGCTGCGGGGCTTTGTTTTCAACAAAAGGCAGTGCAGCAAATCCTCTGTTGCGTTGTCCTGTTCTCCAACGTTTATGCTGCCGATCTTCATCAATCTGTACTGACCAGCTTGGTGAAGTATGGTCAAATAACCCCCATAACTTTTGCAAGGCTTAGGGTGGAGGGGGGGACCTCTTACCTAGCAAGATACATCTACAATATAGGTGAAATGTGCTACATTTACATGCCGAACCTACGCCATTGTCAGGTCATTGTCACCGTCGGTGTCACCGTAGACGAGGAATAGCTCTGGCGGCACTGGCATCGGGCCCCATCTACGCCATCGGGGGGCTGGACGACTCGGCCTGCTTCCAGACGGTGGAGCGATACGACGTGGCGGCCGACTCCTGGAGCACCGTGCACTGCATGAACCTGCCGCGTGGGGGCGTGGGCGCCGTCGCTCTTGGGGTTCGTGTCCCGTTGCCTCTGAGCACAGCCTGGATTGCAATTCTTGGGGGGAATTGGCCTGCACCTCAGTGCGCTCGCTGCAGACCGGCGGTTACTGTGCACTTAAGCCTAAGAGTTTGAAATTAAGGTTTGAGAATTAGAATTAAGATGAGTACAACAGGATAGGTTCACGACGTTAAAAACTGAAATGGACAGGACATGGAGCCAGGATATCAGGTGACAGAAAGATAAAATTAGCAATGGAATGGAGGCTGATTGGAGAAAGGACGATGAGAGGTAGACAGACACTGAGATGCTGAGATGAGATTACAAGATCTGGAGGACCACATTAGATGGAGGTGGTTTGAGGTTATTAAGAGTCTTTGGTGGAGTACTTTGCCCAGGAATAGGATGGTAATGGCTGAGATTTGAAGCCAAGATATCACAGGTTCTGGCTTGATATTCTGGCACAAGTGGTCGTGCGTGGTGGTCAACCTGAGCCACACAGTCATCTCACTTTGCTTTTATTTTCAGCGCTACATCTACGCTGTGGGTGGGAACAACGGGCAAACATCTCTTGCGACCGTGGAACGATACGACCCTCCGCTGGACAAGTGGGAGGAAGTGAAGGGAATGAAGCAGCGTCGGGCTGGTGCAGGCGTGACTGTACTCAACCGCTGCCTCTACGTTGTGGGTGAGAGGGAGCACCAACATTTGAACCCAGACATCCTTGTGTAATAAAATAATTGTTACATTTGATATTCGCACCATTATTAAAGCACAAGGCTATCAAAAAGGTGCTATGTTTCACACATTAATACTACGTGGTAGGAGGGGGCGATATTGCTATTTGTTTTTTGCAGTGAAGTAATTTATAAGTAACTCTTCCCGATGCGAGAAATTTCAGTTGTGTTATTCCAAACTGAAACGTAAAATTTTACATGGAGCAGTCATTGTGGTTGAGTGTACGAAGAGTATTCTTATGGGACAATGGTCAATTTGTATTACGTGAATTGTGTTGTCTTGGCAGGTGGCTTTGATGACAATGCACCCTTAAACTCGGTGGAAAAGTACGACCCCCAGAAGGACCGGTGGGAGGAGGTGGCAGATCTCACAACGCCACGTGGAGGCGTAGGGGTGGCCACACTTATCGGAAAGATTTTTGCAGTAGGAGGCCACAACGGCAGCACCTACCTCAACACGGTGGAAGCCTACGACCCTCTCACTAACAAGTAAGCACACCCACATTCGTGCAAAGTGGCTTATTAATTCAGACGGAGTAATCTGATCATATTTTGTGGTCTTATCATTGCTCAGTGGGGCTGTAAGTGATTTCAGATTTTCACTCAGGGTACAGGTACAGTGGCATATTATCGAGTCTTACTGAACTTCAGAAATAAATATCTTTCCATATTCTAGATACAGTTTGTGACGGCATGCATGAAATCCGTTGTACAATTCTGTTGTTTTTTTCTTTTCACGTGTAACACGTGGTGGGTTTTGCAGGTGGGAAGCAGTGGGCTCTATCTCGCAGTGCCGGGCGGGAGCTGGAGTGGCCATCTGTGCCTGCTCCATCAAGCAAATCCGAGAAGTCGCACAAGGCACAGGGGGAGTTGCCGACTGCATGTGACCAAATTGTGCACACGTGGGTCTCTGGAGCACGGGCCACAGTTACAGTGGCATTCTCTTGTTATTTTCGTGGTATTTTCCCAGTTTTTGTTTCAATTGTGCTGTTACAGTAATTTTCACAAGGTGACACATAACACTTGGATCTCTTGCAGAGCAGTACATACTCTGTAAGTGAATGGCCAGCAGAAGGAGATGTCATGGAACTGCTTTTGAAGTCCCTGAATGTTACCCCAGATTCAGTGTTTAAACGAAATGTTACGCGATGGGTTTTTTTGTGTAGTCGTTGCTGATTGGATTAAAGCTTCAGCTCACTACTGCTCTTGGTGTTTAACCTCACAGTAGCTTTTGTAAGATGGTCAAGTTGTAAAAGCTGTGATATTAATGATTGATTTCCAATGTGTTACAAGTATTCTTCAATCAATATATGCTCCATTATTGTATGTAGTGTTTTAGCTAGTACAATTGCATGTTTTTTTTTATTTGTTGCCACTTTAATATGGAAATCTCATTGTAGACATGAAACAAGAAAACTTTTCGCAACGAGACTTCAGAAACTGTAATGTTTCGTTTGAAATTAAATTCTATTCATCTATCTTTGCTAATAATTCAATAATATTTCCATTATTTACATTAATATGAAATGTTTACTATTGTGTCATATGATCTCTTGGCGCAGCTCGAGAGCTGCATATTGCTAAAGAAGGTTATGAAAAGGAACACATGTTCACTGAATTGTTGTGCACTTTGTGTGATGAGTTGCACTTGGCTTTAAAAAGTTACATGTTACATACATGGTGTTGTGCCTAACACTATTTAAATACGAGTCGTATTTGACATTTCACGTTTTGTAAGCTCATGCTGTCAATTTGTTATTGACCTGTATAAGCCATATGATGTTTGTTTTGGCATACTTTTCATATACATAAACAGTACAGCCCTTTTGTCGCTATACTGCTGGATGAGGGCTTTCCCGGGCCTTGTGGGTCGTGGGGATTATTTGACCATACTTGACGTTGATCATTTGTCGTTCGTGAAGGCAGGGAGCATACAAATGTGGTAGCATAGAAGAACAATACAATACATTTTTCCTGAACTGCCCTCTCTGCTGCCCGGAATGTATACGTTCCTTTATATGCCTGTAATTGAATGTCAATGCTTTACATGTATCAGTGTGATGGTGTATTAAGAGATTGCACATTTCAGGGTTTCATGTCTGCTGCCATAAAAGATGTTGGAGACAATCCTCTTAAATGAGCCACATGCCATATAAATCACATGGAAGTTATAAGAAGCCATCGTGTTCTATGTAAACGCTACTGAAAGTAATTTTTAGTTTCGTTGTTGCAAGTAAAAACAATTGTTAGAAACTGTAGTTTAACACATTCATGTGCACCATTTGTTAACAAATTATTCTTTGAATGTTGCTTACAGAAGCTGCTGGATGTATTCCTGTGAAGGGCCAATGATTTAAACCTCTTTACGAAAAATATATTTTGTAAGCATATTCATGCGCACCACTGGAATTGAGCATATAGGTTAACATGTCGTCTTACGAGTATGGATTTAACAAGGCTGAATTACTGAATATTTTCCGGATCGCTGGTAGACTGGTGTAAGCTAGTGGCCACAGCCACAGAGAGGGGCGTGCTGGATGTGTTCTCAAGTCTCGTCATATTTTCCAGTTAACTACACCAGACCCGGCTAAACGTAAGCCCTGGATGTAAAATAATAAGAAATAAACTATTTAACAATTGAATGGTTGTGTGGCGTTTGCTTGTGGTCCTGATAAATAATTGTGGGTTTTTTTCAATTATGGGGTTATGTGCATTAAAAGTGGGACTAAACCGCACACGGCAAGACATTTCCTGTAAGCATTGCAAATGAATGTAGGTGCTAAATTGGCCAGTTTAGAACTGATAACTACGTGCTATTGCAAGGTTATGTTAATACAGGTACTGGACTGTGAAAAGTAATGCGCTCACATCAAGTCATGTCACGCCAGAAATTTGAAAAATTTCCATTTCAAATTTTTCTTGCTGTGGATTTCACACCTGATGATGATTGCTTGTGTTGCAGTCGAAACGTCGTGAGAATTTGTATAGTTTTATATTTATTTTATTTTATTATTTCCCTTTTACGTGACTTTACCGAAAGAACCAAGAATATGAATCCCTGCAGTCACGAAAGCTTGAAATCAAAAAATAACTTTGTTAATTACAATAATTTCACAATTAGCTTGGCGCGTTGCTCGTCGGGCTGTTATTGAAGTGCGAACAACGGTGGCAAATTGTCCCGCGACAATGTCTGACTTTAGAATGTCTACACAGCGACATCTATCGACTCGGAGGCGTTCACATTCGTGCTGATGGGCACGCACACGTGGCCACCACCAGTCCGCAGAGGTTCTTCATGTTGCAGGCAGACACGTGTTCGCTCTCCAGACGTCCCTTTCGCCTTCATCACTACGCGTTTGGCTCAGAGGCATGGGCAAGAAGCAGAAGGGCAAGCAGAACGAGGCGTAAGTAACGAGAGGAGTGAGAGAGGTCGAGTGTTGGGGGGGGGGGAGCTGCTGCTGCTGGTACGAGATGGACACGCCGCTCGGATAGTCGCTCCGCCGGGCAGGGTGGCCCGAGGCCGGCGGCGTGAGGTCGGCGAGGGTGCTGAGGCTGCGAGGGATGGTGTAGGCCCCTTGTACAAGCAATGTTTACGATGTTCCTTGTGTGCCCTACGCACCCATTGTCTCTTATGTTCTCACGTAATGTTATGCGTGCCGTGTGTACCCCATTGTGTAACCTCTGAGTGTGTCGCATGTGCCACGTATGTAACACAAAGGGGGTATTTGTCCCCTGTGCTCTTAACGCGTCCTATGTGCTCTGTGGGATAGTGTGTTTTTCGTGTGCCCACAATGTCATACAATGCAAAAAATACACACATGATTGAGGGGTGTTATTATAATGCCGTAATAGCCACGATTTGGTATATAGAATGTTGATTCATTACATACTTTACCCAATTTTGAGTTGCTTGTGGGTGCGTGTGTCATTGCCATAATGTTTTATGGTTTAGAAGGCAAGCAGGGTTTGCGTTTCTCAAATTAAGATAAATACATCTGATTGTATGATTTGGGTCTTGCGGTAAAGTCACGGAGATAGAACAATTCCCGCAGTCACGAAAGCTTCAAGTCAACATCTGAATGTGCCAAAGGAACTGATGGCCTTAATCTAAGTTGTCTTCTTGTGGTTGTTGTGGTTGTTTGACTTGCATCCCACTGGGATTTTTGCACACAGTGTTGGTGTACGGTGCTTTTTCTGCAATATTTTGCTGTCTTTTCTTGGATTTTCTGTTTGCACTTAGTCACTTTAAGATGTTTTTGTTCATGTTTTTGTTTTTTGCGGTTGCACCCGATTCAAGAGCCGAATGGCTCACATGGCTATACCTAATAAATTAACTGGAAATTAACTTGAAACTTCATTGAAACCAAGTCTGGCTGTGACCACACATCCAGTTGACTTGCTCGTGGGTTTATTTTCATTGCGGTGTCCTCCCCAGTGAGCCCACGAGCGGTGGTGGTGTCTTGTCAGGTTTTCTGAGCCACCATGTGAGGTGGTAAACTAACTACGATTGCAGAAATTTGTGTTTTTTTACGCATTTGAAGTTGGGTCCCATGCGCGTTTGCTACCTGGCCTCTAGATTATTTTTTGTCTGGTCAGCATTCCATTTACCGTAACACTGTACTGATATGTGCGGTACTTACCTGGGACAATTTGTTGTATAACGATCACCTGATTTTAGTGCGTGTTTGCATGCAGTGCTTCATTTAGAGAGCAGTTTATTTTTATTTTTCACCTACGTGACTTTACCGAAAGAACCAAAGAGTATGGATTATTGCAGTCACGAAAACTTCAAATCTAGAATAGAGAGCAGTGGCTCACCCACTGAGCTCTGAGCCGAGCTAAATGCCCGACCCATGGGCCATCATCAGTGGCGGATGAGTTCTGAACCGCCCAGCCCCCACATGTTTCACCAACCCGCACTCTGACCAGGGTGGTGAAGTATGGTCAAACATCCTGGTTAACTGTTTGAAGGTTGTACGCAGTAGTTTTAAGTGTGAGGTATGGTCAAACAAGGCCCATGACCGACCTTCTGTGAGGAGGCCTTCATCCAGCAGTGGCTTGGCAGAGGGCTTTAAATTACTCTATTTTTGTTTTCATATTCAACGAATCTAAGTGGGCTTCCCACCCATGCGAATGGCAGGGCTTGACTGACTGAGTGATCTTACCCATTGACATCATTGGCATGTCAATCAAATTCTGGATGAGGCTCCCCCAATGTATCTGCTGGTCATGGGAGTTGTTTGACCATACTTCACCTTGCTGGTCATGGGAGATGTTTGACCATGCTTCACCATTCTGTGTTGGTGAAGGCCGTGTCGTGTGGTCGTTGGTTGGGGAGGGTGTGGGAGGGCATAGTAGTGCAGTACAATAATGGCATTTGCTGCAGTGCTCTCTGCAGCCCACCACACAGCCCCGCAGCAGCCTATAACACCTTTGAAGCATGGTGATCACTCCAATCACTATCCAGACTCCATCCTGCTTGGCATTCGAGATCTGTTACATTCCTGGCGATTCCATCAGAAGCGATCCTATACCAACGCCACCGTTAACTTACTCGCAGTACCCGTGAACCAGTGATTGCTTTGAGATAACCAACCGTCCGATAATTATCGATAGAGTATCGGCGATCGATCACACACACCACCACCACCATCAACCGCTAGGCGCGAATGACGCAAGGACTGGGGGGGGGGGGCAATCGTCGAGTTTACGAACCCCACTCCGACCGTGATCGCGCCATTCCGACACTCGTGTTAAACTCCCGCGGCTCTCCGACATGGGCAAGAAGCTGAAAGGGAAGCAGAACGACGAGTGAGTGTACCCCCGACGGGCACGGCTCGCCCTGTTGCTTGTCCGCAACACCCCGGGGTGGCCGCGAGCCCGAAGACGAAGGACGCGGGGGGCCGGTCTCGACTAGCGGGGATGCCGGAAAAGGTGGAGGGCGGCCGGCCATACTCTAGGCTCTGCGACGATATAGGCCGCGGTGCGACGTGTGGCGTTTTAGAAGGAGACGGTGTTTTATATTGTTAAGCTAGTGGGTAATTTAATTGAGCTTAATTGGTCACAAAATGAAAGGTGTTAGTGATTTGGGTACAGTGAGAGGTGTTTTTGTGTTGTTTGTACGGCATAATGGACCTGCTCATGTAATGTGCAGTGCGTGGGCTTTTAAGCCATATGGGTCTAAGGGCATTGTAGATGCTTCTCTTTGGTACGTGAACTATGGATTTAGTTACAGACTGGAGAATATGCTAATATTGGGAGGTTTTTTTTCCTGTGGCCGTTTGCGTCATATGTTTTATGTTATCTTTGTCATGTAAACCAATGTCAGCTGTGCTTTAAGGTGTTTTATTTCAGCAGGTTAAGGAAGTGTTTAAATGTAAAGTAAAAATCAATTACGTCAGTCCATTTCATTGTGTATACATAGACAAATAAGTGTCTATTTGAGTAAAAAGGGGTTGGATAACAGATTTAGACAATAAACGAATATTTTTTTTATTAAAACGAGGACATGCAGTATACTGTACATGTTTCGCCTCTCCAATAAATGCGTTTGGGATGGAGTGAATGGGAACGGGGCTATATTTGTGGAAATAGGGAGTACATTCCCTTGATTCCAATGGTAAACCAAGTGAAAGTAAATGCATATTTTGCTAAGACATGCAGAATAGAAGCCTTGTCTTTGACGATTTTTAAATATCAAACGGGTCAAGAGAGATGTAAACATATCATCACTCAGATATGTAAATTGTAATAATTGTCCGGGCACATACATTATCGTAAATTAGCAGAGTGACACAATTGTTAGAATGTCTGAGCTTTTGACCACTTTCGAAACCATCACAGTGACACAAGGGCAGTGTTTGCACATTTTCTTGAAACGCCTACACGAATCGTTGTACAACTCACGTGTGTCCCTGTACCCCATGTTTAACCCCTTGTGTTCAGCGGTGGCAATGCCGACGACGTGGACATTGATGCGCTGGCGGAGGAGATTGAAGCGGCTGGCTCGGCTCCGGCTGCCAAGGGAGGTGGCGAGAAGAAGGGCAAGCGGAAGAAACAAAAAAATGAATTCTGGTGCCAAGTCCATTGCCACTCACCTGTACCCCAAACCCACTGGCCACTTGCTTGTACAAAACACACGGAGTAAAACTACCCTTTCTGCATTGCAATCATAGTGCCAATCATTGATCACTAAACTTTTTTCTTAAGCCATGCTGTAACAATTGTTTTACTGGCCTGGCTGTTTGAGTAAACCCAACGTGAGCCATATGTATCAGTAACATCAGTGGTCTCTGTTCATTATGTATGTATGAGCTTTGGAACTTTTTTGTACCACTCTCATATTTGAATGTGGAGCATACATTTTTTTCCCATTGTCCGCAATGAAAGGGCTTAGCTCAATCATAGTGTATAGTTACATGTCACACATGGTTGACTAAGGTGTGTGTGTGTGTGCTTTACAGTGAGGATGACATCTTGAAAGAGCTGGAGGAGTTGTCTCTGGATAGTGAAGCTGTAAAGAAGGAGGTGGCCAAGCCTGTTGCAACAAGGGTATGAGAACTTGTTTTTTTAGTATAATAATTTAGCCTTAAATATATTGCTTTGCCGGGTGGTACAGAGTGTGATTGCTGTTTTAAAGCAG